TTTCCGCTTCGCGGATCTTCTCACGTTCATGTCATACTGAATCACTTCTCATCAACAATATCTGCAAGACTCTTTTCTGCGTAACTTGTGTTGATCGGAGCAGCTTTTAGATCTTTTAACCACTTTTCAATCGATCTACTTTATTACCCCACTTTGCTGTCAGTATCTAAAGTTCAACTTCTGCACAATGTGAAGACCCGTCTGCATTCACCCCTTTGTCACAGTGTCAGCGCGAGACATTTGCATCAAGGTGCCCATGTGCTTGGCCGATGCCATTCTCTTCCTGCAGGTGTTGTTTGCATTGGCTGCATTGGTTGTTAGAAGTCGTTGTTTGTTCGGATTCACGAACTCACCGACGTCTGTTGAACAAAGAGGCCAGCAGTTGCATGAATACAAAAAAAACAGTACCACGATTCCTTGTGTTGGGCTGCGAATTGCTTTGCTTCGAAATGCGATCACAAGTCAAATAGGAGTGGCGTCTGAACATGTCTGAACCATCCTGGCTGTTGTTAATCTCCAAGGCTTCCAACAAGAGCTGCCTGCCGCATTCCGATATGTCCTGACTGCACCGCGGCAATGACAACTCATGGGTCTGAGTCGGATGGCGGCAGAAGGTGTGAGTTGGACAGCGCCAAAGTGAGAAGACGGGATGCGCCCTGTCATGCCCTGTCAGCTGTCGGCCAGTCAAACCGCAGGGAACGGGAAACTATACACAAAGATACACAAAGTAAGGTCGGGCGTGCGACTGTGTGTATATGCGTGCGCGTGTTTCGGATTGTGTTCGCAGAGTCCCGTCCTGACTACAAAGTGCCTGTGTTTCAACGCTTCCCATCACAACGTTACCCGATGAAAATGTTGTCATTTTATGATTCGTGAGTGCGTTGTCTGACTCCTGTGTGACTCGCGGGCTGCTGTTGTCTAAGTTGCGCATGGGTTTCGTCTGACTCATATATTGTCTGACTCGCAGCCCTATTGTCTGACACGGTCTTCGCTCAACAACTCATGCTGTAATTAAAAGACATTCGCATCAGATTTCAATGCAAAACCAATAGGTCTGGCACAAAAAAATATCGAAACTCTGCAGACTGTGGACAAGAAATCGGATGGTGCCGACCCCCTTTAATTGCCCTGCAAGATGTGCTTGCACTGTCCTCTTTTGGAAGGTCCTGACGATGCTGATGGCCGTGCAAATTCTGTGACACATGTCAAGTGACAAAGGTACATGCATAAACGCTTCAATATGACTTCACTTTGACTGAATTGCTACAATAGAAGCCGCTGCTTATCAGGCTAAGGTGCAGTTCATGACCATGAGGTCCAAAGCGGCTGCGAACATGGTGCAGTCCTGCACTATGTTGAACAACTCCTCACGGTTTGCATTCCCCACAGGGTATCGTCGGTCAGCTGACGCACAGATGCCCATTGCGGCAGCAGGGTTTCTGGAACCAATGGAGGCAGAAGACACTGAACAAAATGTATCGCTTCCAAGTGTTTGCCGAGTGGCATCCTATTTCGACCTTGAATGGCGATTTTGTGAGCCCAATTCCCGACATGCGACATGTCTTGTCAGATATTGCCCGGCCAAGGAAATCCCAAATCCAAACGAATTGAAAATCCAGCAGTCCTCAAACACGAAGCTAAAATGAATGAGATGCAGTCTTGCCATATCCGATCTTTGAAGTAAGGTCTTAGTGCAAAATGACCACCATATGCCAATGTGAAAGTTTAGAAACCCAAAAGAATGCCTTGGTTGAAAAGGGGCCCTGTCCACTTCGGAGAATGCACATAGTGTACAAAGTGTTCATCTTGTCGTTTGCGGTACTGTGACAGTTCTGTGCTGTGAAGTTGGGCAATTACCATCCGTGACCGGCCTTCAAGCAGACTTTTGGTTTTCACATGAGCAAAAATCGCTGCAGATTTTTACAAGTCCCTCAATTTCAAACGAGAATTTTAACCCCAAAATTCTCAATTCTCTTTTTTTTTCCTTCAAATTCTCTACCCCTAAATGTTTGACATCTCTATCTCTCTTTCCCTCTTCACATTCTCTGCTTGTAACCCTAAATGTTTCAATTCATTGAAATCTGGATTTTTTTCAAATTCTAACCTAAATTTCTGACATGTCTGTCTCTTTTTCTCTCTTCACATTTTTTGTTTTTTAAACATTTCAATCGATTAAAATCTTCAGATTTTAACCCTAGATGTTTCAATTCCTTGGAATCTTCAGATTTTAACCCTAAATGTGATAAGCCCCTGAAATCTTCAGATTTTAACCCTAATATATGTCTCACGTTTTTCACAAGTTTTTCATAATTTTCTATTTAAGTGTAACTTAGTTTAGGGTTAAAGTGAGAAAATTGGGAAAATTGTAGAGAAGAGGGGTCCCGTTCCAGCTTGAACAGTTGTTCCCATATGTTCCCATCTTTGTGTGGGGTTCTTGCTTTCGATTCTGTATCCCGCTCCCGCCTCCCGCCTCCCGCCTCCACTTTGTCACACTCTCTGTCACACACAACTTTGTCACACACTCTCTTTCACACACATCTTTGTCACACACTCTCTCTCTCTCACACACAACTTTGTCACACACTAGCTTTCACACACAACTTTTTCACACACCATCTTTCACACACCACTTTGTCACAGACTCTCTTTCACACACCACTTTGTCTGGCGCCGCGGCACTTTGCGTGGCAGGCGTGGCACTTGGCGACATCCACCTTCGTTTTGCGTGGCAGGCGTGGCGCTTATGGCACTGGGTTGGATCTGGTGGCACGGCACTTGGCGACATCCACCTTCGTTGCGCATGGCAATGGCAGGCGTGGCTGGCACTGGGCTGGCTCTGGTGTAGTAAGCTACATGCAAGCAAAGCGCGTGTGGACTCCATCTGCCGCGTATGCGGGTACCACCGCCCGGCGCGACCCAGATGCCCTGGAAATTGGCATGGTGGGGGCCGGGGACAAAGGGAAGAAATCCAAGGGCAAGGGAAAGGATGCCAAAGGCAACAATAAAAGCAAAGATAGCAAGTCCAAAGGAAAACAGCAAACCCAGCAAACTGGCAAAGGAAAAGGCTCCGAAGCCAAAGATCAATGTGCCATTTGCTGGAAGACAGGCCACACCACTGAGAAGTGCTGATCCAACTCCAAAGGGCAGGAGAAAGGAAAGGGCAAAACCTCTAAGAATGTCTCAGCTGTCGCTGAGAAGGACGCGTCCCAAGTTGGGGGTAGTGCCAGCATCATCTCCTGATCATCTCTACGCCTGTCACTTCGACCACCGGAAAAGGGGTCAGGAAGATCGGGGAACACCGACTTCTCATGGTGAAGGCTGTCCAAAAGAACCACAAAGCCATTTTGGCTGACCAAGTATCACCAACTGCCATTTTGGCACTTCAGAACAAACCTGGCTGGCATGACCTTGACGCGTGCGCTAAGGTGTTCGTGATACGAGGCAAAGCTGGAGCCCAAAGGAAGCATATGACCCCAGGTCCGCAACACCCAGAGTACACGCTAAGGACCACATGGCAATGGAACCATGCCTCTGACACATGGGAAAACCTAGAGTTCCAAAGAAAGTGGAAACTTCTCCGCACCTGCCATGTGGGATCCAAGATCTGGGCAATGCATGTTTTTGAAAGGAAAGTGGCTAAGATAGCCCAAGTACCCAGCAAAGGATGCCTGCAAGTGGACACTGGAGCATGTCATCCGTCACCCTGGTGCCTTCAAGACAGCCGAGATTGACCCAAGCGCTGTGGAAGAGCTGTACACTGTGGATGATACACTGCTCAAGGCGTGCGGGGAGATCCGCCCTATAGGCTGCGTCTTGGAGAACAACTCCAAGAGGAAGCGCTTGTCACATTTCAGGTGGTAGAAGGGATTACGGAGAATATCCGGTCTGTCAATCGAGCTCTGGAGACAGGAGCTCGTGCGCACTTTGAAACAAACAACTGCTACATCCACCCGGCCGATGGGAAGAAGGCCACCTTCACGCAAGAAGGGAAGCAATTCCTTCTGCCGTTTGAGGAACTCAGCGAGTCCGCCAGACTCAAGCAACCCAAGGTTGCTGTAGTTGACCCAGCGGATGAGGAAGCAGTAGCAGCGCAGGAGTACGCAATGCATGTGGACGAAGACACCGAAGCTGTGCGTGAGTATGCCGAAGAAGAAGAAGAAGAAGAAGCAGCAGAAACCTATGTCTGGGCGGAGGAACTGCGCCGTGAGGATGCAGGCCTTCTGGCCGATCTGGAACAGGACGCAGAGCGGGAAGATCCGCCTGAGGGCAAGAGCCTACCACAGCATGGCTCACCGAGCCAAGACGAAATAGAGACTCATCGGTTGACGCACCTTCCCTACCAACCATGGTGCAAGGAATGCGTCGGCGCAAAGGCAAAGGCAGATCACCACAAGCGCAACAACGGTGTTGAACGGGACACTACCACATTGTGTGGTTCAGATGGATTACTTCTTTCTCTCTCCCGAATGGGAGGAGGAGGTTCAGGGCGAATCACGACTCGTCACGATCCTCTGCATGTCTGAGACGACCACTGGATGGCCGCTAGCCATGCAACTTCCCAACAAGTCCACCAAAGTTGCTAAATCCAAATATGTGTTCCAAAACATAGACCTGTACTTTAGGACTTTAGGAATCTCAGGTATGACAAGGTCATTCTGCAGCACGACGGCGAACCCGTCATCCACGCTCTGGCCAACAGCATCCAACAATACGCTTGGGCCTCCCGAGTGTCGGTGCGGGAAGCTCCGCCTAAGCAGCATCAAAGCCAAGGTGCTGTGGAGTCAATGAATGGTTTTGTCGCATCTCAGATTCGAGCCCTCTGGCTTGATGTGCGCCTGAGATACCCTGAGCTAGATAGAGAGCTAGCCGTAAGTTGCAGTCTCACACCCTGGTTGGTGCGACATGCTGCCTGGTTGATTGCTCGCTATCATGCCAGGAGCCGGGATCAAATGACTCCTTACAGGCTGGTGACAGGAGCAGACTACGGTCATCCCATAGCCATGCTAGGGGAAGTAGTGCTTGGGAAAGTGCCATGTCCAAAGGACAAGATGCAAAGAAGATGGATCAAGGGTCTGTGGCTTGGAAAGCTCGGGAGAAACGACAGCCACATCCTAGACACCACCGCAGGTGCCATCACAGTTCCATCAGCGCGCCGCCTGCCCAGGGAGAATCAGGTCAACAAGGAGATGATGGCTCAAATGAAGGCCATTCCGTGGCAACCACGGGACGGCGTGCAACACAAGATCCACCGCGAACTGTCGCAGCCTTTGGTGCTACCAGCACCACCGGCAGCGGGACCTACCGCCCTCGAAGAGGAAGCTGGGCAGGACGAGAAACTCAACATCCCTCGATGGCAGAGCACAATCTGGATGAAGATGGCCTAATCGTCAGAGCAGCGAACCAGCTGGAAGAGCTCCAAGGTGACGAAGAGCTTGAAGAGCCAGCAGGTAGCCCCGCAGACGACTATGCGCCAACAGCCACCACGTTCACCTCCGCCGGCAGAGGCCAGCGCGGTAGGCTCTGGAAGGAACCAACAGCCATTCAGAGGCTCAGGATGGTCATCCCCGCTTCAGAGCCTACCAGACGAGCCCATGAGCCATCAGGTCTCGGTACAGGAGGGAAGCGAGAGAGAGAGAGGCCACCGGACAAGCCCGAACCGGCGAAGCCGAACCCAAGCTGTCCCGACAAGCAGGTGTCCTGGGTCACTTCACCAGAGAGGTATGGGAAAACATTCAGCAGTGGGGCAACTTGGAAGAAACTGACAACCCTACGGCACTGCAGCGAATCTCCAATGTCACAGAGTTTGTGGATCAGCTGCTGGATCCGCAGGAAGTGACCAAAGCACGCAAAGCGGAGCTCAGGAAGCTTTGGGAACGTGGAGCGTTCACTCCACTTCATAAGAATGAAATTCCTCAGGGATCCCAAGTCTTCTCCCACAAGTGGGTAGACAAATGCTCCATCTACAAATCCAGGTTCACCTGCGCAGATGTGAAAGCAAAATATTCAGCTGCTGAGGAGGAGGAACTCGACGTGTTTGTTCCTACCCTGACTCCAGAGTCACTCAACCTTCTGGAGGTTTATGCGCTGATGAATGACTACTTCACCCGCAGTCTGGATATTGTGGCCGCGTTCTTGATCGGTAAGGATCGAGGAGCCGCGGAAGGAAAGCCCGTGTACATGCGAACCCCTGTGGAATGGCAAGAAGTTTTCCAAGAATGGCTGCAGACACTGAACCCATCAGACAAAGCCTTGTACGCGGCAAGGTTCAAAGAGATCTATATCCGCCTTGACTGCAATCTCTATATGGCCGAAGGACTGCCGGATCGGTCTACAGGAACGAGCTTGAAGAGATTGTCTGCTCGCGGGTGGATCCGCAGCGCTATGCCTTCGTTAGAGGCCAAAAGGATCGTGCGTCTTCCGGTACACTAAGACCAGAATCGTGCTGATTCATCGCATAGATGATATCCGTGCAACTGGCCCAACAGAAGCGCCCGCGCACCTGTTTGAGCAAGAACTGCCCAAGTACTGTGAAGTCCAGGCAGGAGATTTGGAAAGGGAAGGAACCGCCGTTGAATATCTTGGCCGGACTACTTGTGGAGACAGCCTCAAAACCACCTTTTGCACGCAAACAATTGATCAAACACTACCAACTTCTTGCCGCTCTTGCCGACGCTTCCTCACATCAAATAGTACATACGTATCATAATTTCATGGTAATCATGTTGGTCCTTTCTGTGGTTGTGTTTGATGAACGGCCCTGGCTAGTCATGTGCTTCCCGCACTGAAGCACCCCCAAAACCCTATTGCCATCGTCACCCGCCTCTATGTTCTTCCGCTTCAGCCAACATACCTTATCTCAGAAGTTGTTGCCTCGGTGGCGTGTCTGGGTCCCACTCATCTTCCTCTCCAAGATGCGCTACAAACCGCACTGTCCTGCAAAAATGCCATTCTGAAGTCTCAGGAAGTCCAAGTGGTGTCCTGATTCCTACAGTAGCCTGGATGTCTGACCAGACGACTCAGCTTCGGCCCCATTAGCTGCGACTACCAGCGGTCTGTCGTTTCAATCTGTGCTTTGAAAGATGTGGGCAACTTCCTGTGTGAAGTGCCCTGGGCGATAGGTCTGTGTCTTCCCCGCTCAAACCGTCTCTCACTGAATCAACATATTTCACATCTGCAATATAATTTGTTCATGGTCCAAACTCCTGCATAAAGCTACATCTTGGTAAAAGATCCTGTGAAGTATATATCGTTGAGATGATCGGATGTTCACTTGCTATCAACATTCATCAACGCAAGGGGATGCAGCTTAAAATCTATTTGCGGCTTGCGACCAAGCAATAGAACACAGAATACTGCACCATCAATGGCACGGTTTTGCATTGCATTGATCCACTGGCCGATGTGGTCGGAATCGAAATCCCAGTCCCGCTCCATCAAGGCACGCCGAAGTCAAAGGATGGACCATCTGTGATGCGAGGCTGTCGTGCGTGGAGAATGAAGCTGCGACCACCGTTGAAGGCGTCAAGCCACTTGGGATCAGATGCATCTGTGTTTTGAAGCACGGCTACCCTTGGCGGACGAAACATGGAAATTTCTGGTGGATGAGTGGGGACGCTTTGTGAATTTTTGTGATCCGGTTCTGCCTTTTTGGCATGACAAGGCAAACTGTGCCAGGCAGCTCTTGATCAGAAACGCCAAGGCGAGCTCATCGTCCAGCATGCTCTGCCTGGTGCGCTAGACACGAGCTTCGGAAGTTGGGTGTTTCTGAAGCTTCAGGGCACAACAAGAATCCACCACGGACCATTTTGTTGCCTTTGTTGGGGAACGTAACAGTTTGGGGATTGGGATGCCTCCCTGTTTTTTGGGACATCCCTAAGGTGCATCAACAGCCTTGGCCCTCACTGACGGTTTCAGACTTACCACCCTAAAGGTACGGTAGAATTGCAGTAATTTGCATAGATTTGCCGCTTCTTGGCGTGGCGTGGATGTCAACGATATGGAGTGTTCACCTGGAAACAAAACTTAGACCAACCAACTAATAGAAACAAAAGCCTGTGACCAGTTGAAACGGCGCAGCTGGACATCCGCAAACACATCCATGAAAAAGTGGAAAAGAATCCTATACACGATAGAACATGATATACTTGAACTTGCGAGGCAATCCTTCTGTGATCACAACGTTTTTGATGCAGTGTCAACTTGGATGATTAGACAAACCTAGGTCAATCGGTGAAAACCTGCAAGAGGTTGAAACAAATGCCCGGGACATGCCTAAACGATGGTAATGGACACGATTCGTCAAGGAAGCGGGTGAAATAATCCCTGACTTGATCCCAACAAGTTTGTTGTTTTCACATGTTTTCACCATATCAGCTTCCAACGTCAGAACAGCGTGGATTCCGAAGTTGGAGGTCTCACATCTGGGACGCCCTGCCGAGGTATCTGGGCCATCCTTTGCCATGAAGGTGGAATTCCCTAGGGGGATTTCCGCAAGGATGGTGAAACTCCGCATTGAATGTGGTGAAAACATGAAAACTTCTGGTTCCAAGTTCCAAGTGGATCACCTGTTGAAACTCTGGAGGTCTGGCAATCCATTGATTTCAAACCAGGACAGGCTCTGGAACGGCATAAGAACCTTTTTTTCGCCAAGGGTAAGCAACAAGCCGGGTCTGCAATCCAGATTCACCAGCATGTTTGAGATTCATAATCTAGTAGGTTTAGGTTAGTCATGGTGTGATGTCTCTTCAATCCTGAAAATCAATGAACTCTGGGTGAAGACAAGTGTAAGCTGAGCCGAGAACTACGGGAATTCGAACCTTTGGTATAATGTGCACATGAATCACCTTCAAATTACTGTATTTCTCCCATGCCATGTCCATGTCGCAACAAATACCTACGGCCTGTCACTGCCTGAAGCAAACGTCCGAAGGTTTTGCGACTCGGCGCGTGCTCAGTTACAAGATGTTTTTCAGGTTCGTCTACCTTGAGAGTAGCAGGGACTTTTAGACCCATGTTCTAGATGTTTTGAATGTCTCACTTCGGGTGAACTCTTCTGATCGTTAAGGATGATCTGCCTGATACTTGACCTACTTTAATCAGGAATCACAAAGGATCGCACAATCGGAGGGTGGAATCCGGCAGCAGTACGCTTTGATTTCCGCCACATTCTGCGATTTTTTTTGACTCTGCCGCTGCCTAATTGGCAAAGATGCCACTGCTGGTAACAGAATCCGCAATCTGATCGGCAGCGCCTTCAGCATTGTTCATCTGCCGATCATCTACATACACTAGACCGTTCTTGAACACAAATTCATTTTGAAAAGTGCCTCTTGGATTGTTTTGCGGCGCAGGTGCCCACTCTTCGCAGAGCCTAGTGGGAAAGATATGCAACTTGTTGTCGTGTGCATATTCCAATTCATGGAAGGTTTCGTAGCCAGCACCAGTATAGGCGCCGTACTCCGAAGTGCAGAAGGCCACCATGCCTTTGGCACGGGCCAATCCTATCCGCGTCAGCTCGGCAAAACTTTGGCCGACCTGAGCTTGGGCCACAAACACTGGAACTCTTCTCTCTTCCAGACGCCTTTTCACCATTCTCATGTAATTCATCGTCCTCGGTGGCCAGAAAAGTCCACATGACAGGGAGGATGGAACCAATTGATGGTGACCGATAGTCCCACCAATAAAAAGCCCCCACCAATAACGGCTGCCATTGGCACACCTGCTTCTTGGGGCTCTGATGAGGGCCATCCCGGCGAAAAGTCTGGATTATCAATCAGTTTATGGGATTACAATGATATTATGGCGGGGATACTGATAGTAGGATTTATAGTTTGACATATCTTCTAAAAAATAAATATATAAAAATGTAAAAATGATAGGTTGCAAATGTGCTATCGTCAAGTTCGATGTGTATGCAATGGGATGATCAGGGGATAAATGGGACAAAGCCATCCACAATTGTAGGGATTATAATGGAGATATTGGGCGTTAACCATCAACGATATCATGATATGGGAGTAATAAACATGGGATGAATGGGGTATGGTCATCCATCCCATGCCATGGGAATCCACACATGATTGGTATATAAATTTAATAAAGCCCTATTCATTGATTGATGCCCAAAGGCAAATGTCATAAAAAGAAAAGCAAATTGGACATGGAACTAGTCACAATCTTTGTGTTTAGATCATACTTCAGCCCAAAAGAAGTACAATCATGGGAGCGCTCTGACCATCCCCTTTATCGTAAATCAAATTCGCCGTTGACATCACGAGGAAACATTCAGGGAAAATCTTTTTGGGGAACCATGGGTTTTTCTTTTCAAATATGGTGGTAAAGCCTGCAAATGTTCTCTTCAAGCAATTCTGGGACTGTGACCCTTAAACATCCAATAGCCATTAACAACACTATGCTTAAGCCCATATGATTGGCATATCTGTTTAACCCATACAATTATGTGGCGCCTTAAACTGTAACCTTGGAGTACCCCAAAACCTTTGGTTTCCCACAGAAAATGGAGAATTTGGGATGACAACTGATAACTTGGGGTCCGCCACTTCAAGAAAAAACCATTTACCAAGTATTTGGGTTGATCCAAAACATTAGTTTGAGAAGACCCCCAGAGTCCAAAAGCTTAAAGCCTGGTTTTCCTCATTTTCCCCATGGTTTCCCCCATGATTTGGTGACACATTCCCCACAAAAACGGCCGATCTCCCACCGCAGCCCTGGGGGGATACCTTCTTCGGCACCGTCCAGGGTGCTGCGGCTGCGGTCACCACATCATGAAGGGATGGGTCCCGCATGGCGACGTTGGCTGGTTTTTGGGTGTGACACCTGCGGGGTAACCTGAGATGTAGGGGATATGTATAGAAACGTATTAAACATGTGAAGATATGTGAATATGATACATGTATTATTGATATGCATGTGTGTTTTTGAATTCCGAAGTGATTGATTTTACGTTTAAAAAGGGTCTTAGAAGTGAAACGGTTGGTGGAATTTTGACTTCGAATTGGGGAAAGGAAGGGCCTGGCTCTAGCTACATATACCTTTGTGAGATACTACAAAATAAAGTGATGAAAGCCACCAGTGAAGCCACTGAGACATAAAAGTTTCCTGACATCTTGATCCAGCTGGCCATATGCAGGAAGAACCATGATACTCTGTGCGATGACAAATCAATGTGATGTACAGAATTCATTTTCCTTGCAATTCATCCCCATTGAGTACCATCTGTAGATAATTCACTTCACAGAAGGAAGCTTTTCCCATTGCACTGAAGACTCCAGTGCCTTCAAAATGGGAACGCCTTCTCAAAGCGTATCCCAATCATCCCAAGACACCCCTGGTTTTCAGGCCATGGCCACATCTTCGCAATCTGTTTTCCTTCGCCCAATTGTTGCAATTGCTATGCCATTTTCGGCAACAGCATGTGAAATTCTGTGCGCCTTGTCGACAAACACAATTCAGCGCGTGAAACATGATGTGCAAATGATCTGGTGACGTTCTCTAGCAGGCCAAAGGATATTGCACTATACCAATTGGACTTGTATTTCTTTTGGATTCTTTTGGTGTGCTTCAGTTGGAGTTTCCGGATATAGTGGCTGTAAATTTCTGCTCCAATTCTCCTGCGCTTCATTCATTTTCCGAAGACATGGCAAGTGCATTGCGGCATATCCTTTGGCCAACTCCGATTTCCTACATGGGGGTTTCCTGAAATGGGGTGCCCCTAAATCATCCATTTAAATATAGAATTGTCCATTATAAACCATCCATTTAAACATCCATTTTGGGGTATCCCTATGTATGGAAATCCCCACACGGTTTCATAGACTTGCGGTGTCGCAACTTGGTAGCAGCCCGTCCGACTGACCATCTAAATCTATCTGAATCATTCTAAATCTACAATCGGATCTTCAGCTGCGGTCGCTGCTTCATCACTTTGCGAAGGGCAGCTGTCCCGATGTCACTGAAGCCTGGCTGCTACAACTTCGAGTTGTGTCCATTTCAACATCTTCACATCTCACAGACTCCAACATCTTCGTTCATCTTTCCGAGATTGGGGGTGAAAAAAAAAACATGCCGTCATTCCAAAGGTTCAAAACAATGTAAAACAATGCCAAACATATCGCCAAAAAACGGTTCCCAGTCAGACTCAGATGTTCCAATCGAGCAGCAGCTGAGCTCATCAGTGCCTCTGCCATTGCATCTGCATCTTCATCTTGTAGAGAACACGACTCCATTTGGATGTCCGCCGCACCTGAGGTCACCATCGCCACGGCATCTTGCCCCTTCAGGGCATTGCCATTTACCACCAAGTACTCCAACCTGTTGTAGTGGGGCAAGGCGTCATGTAGACATTCCAAGTCATCCGCAGAGAGTTGTTGGAGCTGCAAGTGTGTTGTCCTGGAGACTTTGTCTCTGAACACCTTCTCTTGCAAAGCAAGCACCTGCTCGGCATCATTTCGATGCGTGAACCGCATCCGTTGCATCCTCTTCCTGAATATTTCTGGAGGAGTGGGAATACAACCTCCAAGCACATCCATACGCAGGCGGGACCACTCAGATTCACTCTGGCACCAACCTCGAAGCTCATAGGGGGTGTTGTTCAGCCTCAGCTCGCAGATTGGTGTCAGTTTCACCTGGTCTTCCGTCGCGTTGTACACCAAAATCTCGCCCTCGAACTTCTTGTCCTCAGGTGTGAGTTCAGTGAGGATGTCTACCTGCACAATCTCATGACTGTACAGCCAGTGCATTCGCTTCAGCCCCTTCCTGAAGAACTCATCTTCTTCAGCAGATCTCTTGTACTGATACAGCGACAGGAAGTCCACGAAGACCCAAGTCACCGAATCCTTGGGTAATTCTCGGTACTTCTCCACAATGCTGCGGACCTGGAATCCCCAGGGATCCGGATGCTCCATTGCCTCCCACATGTGGGAGATTGACCGGAATCGCACTATGGAGGGGCCCTCAGCCGTGCGGATTGTGACGTGTCCTCACAGGGCGGACACTATGTAGTGCCAGACAAGCATAAATCTGATGATTACAGTAAAATGCAATCATATGCGGACCAGAAATCTAGCACAACATCCATCGATCTACAATAATATACTACAACAATGTTTGCCATCTAGAGACCGTAAAGTCATTTGAAATCATCTCTGGTGTTTTTGTACCTCTGGATGTTTGCAGGGACTGAGCCAGCCTGATGTTTGATTCACGTGCAACTCTTTGTACTCACCAAGCTCCACCAGTGCAGTTGCCCCACTCCGCACGTGCATGAACTCTGCCTCTTGTCGGCGAGGCATGGGGGTCCCAGTCTCATCCAGCTCGATCAAGAACTCGGCGCGGACCAGCCGAATGTTCGCTGAGATGAGGAACTCAATGAAGTCGTTGGGATTTTGCAAATCGCCTGGCAGCATCATACAGCCAGACCGTGACAGCTAGAGCAGCCCCTGGATTTCATTGTGGCTCAGTCAATTCCGGTCCCAAACTCTTAAAAATCAGACCCTGGAGATGATGTGTGACTTTGGATCCAACTAATGATAATTGGAATACCTGTTGACGGTTGACAGCTTGACTGATGTGTGTTTGTAAGTGCTGCATTGAATACCCTACTGGTCTCGTCTCTTGGCAGCCATCCACTCTTCTTATCCACCCAACTATATAACAACTACCACCAATTTATAGCATTGATTACCCTGATCAATCACAAACGCCATCATCTTTGCGGCCTTCATCCTCTGCCAACTGCTTCTCCTGTGGGATCCAGCCATATTCTACAAAGTTCAACAGAAATCACTGCGTATAAGGTTCATGAAAATCAGGTGTGTAAAGAGATGCTGTGCTTGTTGAAGGTGCATCTCAAATGTCTGGGTTCCGTCTTCGGATGTTATCTCACGAACCTTTGGAGTTGATCCCAGCAATGCAGACCCAAGCAACGCAACCGTACACCATTTGCAATCCTTTACGCACAGAAATGCACACATGAAAATTCCGCCATCACCTAGCTACATGGAGCTGCATCCAAAGACTGGACATTGGCAAATCTTGCAACTTTCAAAGTGGCTGCCATTGAAGTTCTGCCGCACCCGGCGGTCATGTCACGGGATTCCCAGAGCCTCCCTGCAGAATGTTGTGTCCCACATCTCAAGATACAACCCCAGCCTCTGAGACATCACCCTGCCCCACTGCTGGCGCCTAGAATGAAAGAAGATATCGACATCGACGGCAGTTTCTACACAAATCTTCGAAGCAAAATTTACCAGTGAAAAACATGATCAAAAAAAGGTGCTCTGCAGCTAATTTACAAACATCTCGATCACCATCAGGGATGCGATAACAGCAGAGCTAAGCACTGATCCGGCTTGGGAGGCTCATCACTTTGGGCTGAATTTAATCGACAGTTTGTTGCCGGTTTTGCGTTGTTTGCTTGCAAATTCCAGTTCTAATCAGAATCTTTCCATGGCAATGGGTGACTCACATCACTCTTGCAGGCCGGGGAACGATGACTGCGGTCAACGTATGTCCAGGCAAAACACCGGTTTCTTCCAGAGTCTTTGCTTCGTTCCTGATGGCTGGGCCAAGCTCCAAATTGTTTGGGACAGCGAACTTGACAAATTTAGGTCTGATGCACTCGCTCCAGAGCTTCAGGAGTTGACTCCTACAATTACAAGTCTATTGCGACTGCGTTGTGAGGATGAGAGTAAGTTCGCTGAAAGCAGCATGACCAATGCATCTAAAGAGTGCAGTGCATTGCAGTGCCTGGTATAAATTGCTAGGATCTTAGGATCTCTGTAGATCAATGACCTTGTCAAACTTGTTCGACTTATCTTAATCAACTGGTTCTACTTGCATTTAATCATCCTTCACTGTGCGATATCTTCTCTAACCAAGAGGAGTCTTCGCGGTTCAAAGACATTGGGATGTTCGATCAAACCTAGTCATCCAAGATTAGTCAAATTTATCAGATCTGGACCACTTTCTCTGGAATGCCGTGCTCGCTGCCGAGCGCAAACAGACCGTGACTGATCCGTGAACGACCCGTGAATCACTTTGAACCAACCGTGGGTAGGGACAGTATACAAAGTCACGGAAAAGCAGGATATGAATTGACCTCGTAAAACTTGCGCTGAATCGCAATATCCGTGCTAAGCTTGCACTTTGGATGATAAGATGTGCTAAGATGTGACAAGCGCTTTCATTCCCAATATTTCCCGAAAGGCAGACCTTTGCATTCGTGGCCGCTTCTGCTGTTTGTTCTGCAATATTCCGCATCACTCTTTCACTGACTCTCTCGAACAAACCGCAACAGCTGCACTTTCTGTCTCATTTGAAGCACTATCAAACAGCTTTCTCATCGCATCGTATAATATATACATTAACAATGTATTTATTTGTCGTTTGCCATCAGGGCCATCAGCATCTACTACTGTATGCCGGCAGAGCCTTCAAAACGGTTTCCAAATATTTCCATTCTCAACGACCTTGGTCAACTTATCACATTGAATGTCCCCAGCTGCATGGGGTGAAAGATTCTAACATCAAACCACCACGAAACACCGAGGTCCCCATCATCGTCACTGAAGAGTCTTGTCACTGACCCAGTGAGCATCCCAGAAGGCTCAAGCTCCAGATTGGTATAGAATCTAAATACATCTAAACGTCGTCCCTCTATTCAGCGTCAAGTGTGTCAAGTTCTGTGCCAAGCAGCAATGGTTCCATGTTCACCCCAATGAGACGCTGGATGGTGATTCCGAGTTTCTTCCTCGGAACCGCGACGCGTGGCACGGCGGAGCACGGGGTGTCCGGCAGGGCCAACTGACACATGCCAGGGTCACATCTTGGTGACAGCGCGTGAGCTCACTAAGATCTGACTATCACCCCTGCATATCCCATCTTTCCCATGCAACAGACAGGAGTGCCAGATGCAATGAAAGATAATGATATGATAAACCTCATCAATCATATAAATAGTGTTGGGGAAGTGCAAGCCTCGATCTGCAATGGCTCATTCACGCTTCATAAGCCAATTTCGGACTGCAGGGAACTTACAGTAGCTTATTAAAGCATCACGGGTCTTGTGTAGCCGTGGGTAGGCAACGCCATGCCTCTGAATACCGGGATGACATGTTCAATTTGCACAATCAGATGAATTACGGCACAAACATCTTTGGACTTGCTGCGAAATGCAAAAACATGTTGTCGCACATATTTTGCCATGGGTTTGCATGTTGTTGCAATGTGTGTCATCATACCATTGTTGTCTAAGCATGTCCGTGCATTCTCGGCCAACATGGTACATTGAGGAATCCAGGAAGTCTTTATTGCAACAAAGGCAGTGGACAAAAGAGGCTGCCTGATTTGCTCCTCAAGTAAAGTGGAGGAGGGATGTCAATTTCTTCGTATAGAGCCTACCATATTGCATCTTCTTCGATAATACCACACAACTGCATGAAACAACTCCTACAGACTCATGGAGAGGGAAATGAAACAGACTCAGCACAGTGAAAGTATGGCCATGCGAGTACAAGATTTAAAAAAATCGCCATCCGTCGGCTCATGGAATATTAATTAGCATGTCCATCTCACAAACGCATTAGATCAAAATGCAAGAACCTCAAACGTTGTCAGACCAACAGAACACAAGCATTTCGACCAAGATGGTTTGATATGGCCTCAGAGAAAGCCAAGCTGCTCTGCTTCATCCTTCAATTCCTGCACCGTCTCGTGATAAGAACTATAAGAACTACCTGAGTGTCATAGTTGCTTGCATTCCCAGGTTGCACATAACAGCCACTCATGAACAGTTCAGGTTTGACGGAAAATATCAGAAACGTTGATGTGTGGCACCCAACAAACCGTACAGCCTTTTATGTCTGCAGGTCGTATCAAGTGAAAAAGTCACTCACCTCATGCATCTTTTGAGCACTTCAATTGCTTGGTTCTCTTCAAATTCTACACATTGCCAATCCAGATAACCCTGAAACACCCTACATGACTGGCAAAAGATTGCGACGAATTACGGCACTAAAGTACCTGTCCACCATTTACCCACTGCAAATTTCGGAGCAGCCGAGGCACATTTGCAGCTCCGGCCACTGAGAAGGGCCACAAATACCTCACAAAAGAATGGCAACGCATCGGAGTCAATTCGAGCGCATGACAGCTTCACAACATCAGGATTGCAACGACCCAATAAGAACCACCGTCTTTTCTTCATCATGTTCCTATAGCCCACATGTGCCGAAGCCCTGGTCCACCAAGGGATGTTCATCCCAGCGCCAAGGGACCGGGTCCAGCACACCCATCACCTTCTGGCGGCCCATTTTCTTGGCGTAGTCGTACGGCGTCTTGCCTTGCGATACGCAGCTGGAAGTGCGAGGGCCCGGTGTAGACGGATGTGGGGCTGAGTTTGGCCCCAAAATCCAGATACCAGTAGTATCCAGTAGTATCATTTAGATTCATCTAGTGTCATTGCTTTTCAAGTTGTTTTACGGATGCTTCACGTTGATGTCTGGAGGACGTACTAGCATATTTCCTACATATCATATCACCCACTTTCACCCCCTATATATAACCTTATCGTTGGTATCCTAATCGCTGTTTCCAAAATCATATCATTCTTAACAAGTTCTTACTGTGCCAGTGGATGCCACTGTCTTCTGTGGCTGGTGTCGGCGTGTCACCCCATGTTGACACTTGCCAAACATCCCACCACGACAGCGCCAAAAAAAAAAGCAATCTCCACAGCCTGAAACAAACTCAGAATACGTTCATGTTTCTGGCTTTGCTGGTGCAGTGCATGCACTTGAGAAGATTCAAAAAAAACAATTCCATCTACCGCAAATAGCACCTATTAGTTTTATCCTGCCACAGCTCTGTGCACATGGCGCATTCAAAATCATCAAACAACTTTAAACCGAGTTTGTTCTTTCACTCACTCTGCATCAGATCATCCCTCCACTCCATTCCCTGTCGTCCCCACCGGCCGTTTCCGGGGACCCTGGCCTTCGCTGTCCAAAGCATCCACGGCGGCGCCCGCGGCGAGGAGCTGCTCCACAGCGGCGGTGTGGCCGTTGAGAGCCGCGTAGTGCAGCGGTGTCGCACCTCAGGCGCCGAAGGGCTCGGAGACGTCAACGGCTGGAGGGCTCCACCCCGTGGCTCTCCACCGCCCACCCCACTGCAGTGGGAGAAACTGCAATCTGTGGAGTGAAGTCCGTGAGTTTCATCTTTTACAAAATCGTATAGCGAGCTGGCTCAATGGCAGCCACTATCGTTGCTGGTGTTGTGAAGATCACCAAGACTACCAACTGATGGAACCGTCCACAACAGAAAATCCGAAAAAGGGAAAACAGTTTTCTTACGACTAACTTATCTCAACATATCTCAAGCATTTTCAAGCGCTCTTTCACACCCATACAGTAGGCCCATACGAGTAGCAAATGTGCAAGAGTTCTTCTCTCTCAAGATGTTTTATGATGTCTTGTTGTGTTTCACATCGATGTCTTACCATCGTCATGCAGGGAATGTTTTGTCAAAGGTGGACATGGCGTGTGGACAATTCGTGTTATATCATGTTATATCCCTGCAGTGATGGGGCACCCCAAAGATACCAGTGGATGCCACTGTGTTCTTGTCACTTGCCAAAATACCTCACCATGGCGTATGAGAAGATTCAAAAAATCCTAATCCCACCTAATTGACACCAATCCTGTCACAGCTCTGTGTACATGGCGCATTCAAAATCATCAAGCAACTTGTCACCGAGTTGTTCTTTCACTCACTCTGCATCAGATCATCCCTCCACTCCACCCCCGTCGTCCCCACTGGCCGTTTCCGGGGACCTCGGCCATCGCTGTCCACAGCATCCACAGTGGCGCCCGCGGCGAGGAGCTGCTCCACGACGGCGGTGTGGCCGTTGCTAGCCGCGCGGTGCAGCGGTGTGTCGCCTCAGGCGCCGAAGGGCTCGGAGACGTCAACGGCTGGAGGGCTCCACCCCGTTGCTCTCCACCGCCCACCCCCACTGCAGTGGAAGAAACTGCAATCTGTGGAGTGAAGTCCGTGAGTTTCATCATGTTTCATCTTTTACAAAATTGTATAGCGAGCTGGCTCAATGGCAGCCACTATCGTTGCTTTTGTTTGTGAAGATCGCCAAGACTACGAACTGATGAAACCGTCCACAACAGAAAATCCGAAAAAGGGAAAACCGTTTTCAAGCGCTCTTTCACACCCATACAGTAGGCCCATACGAGTAGCAAATGTGCAAGAGTTCTTCTCTCTCAAGATGTTTTATGATGTCTTGTTGTGTTTCACATTGATGTCTTACCATCGTCATGCAGGGAATGTTTTGTCAAAGGTGGACATGGCCTGTGGACAATTCGTGTTATATCATGTTATATCCCTGCAGTGATGGGGCACCACAAAGATACCAGTGGATGCCACTGTGTTCTGTCGCTTTGTCACCTCATGTATTGTCACTTGCCAAAATAACTCACCATGGCGTATGAGAAGATTCAAAAAAATCCTAATCCCACCTAATTGACACCAATCCTGTCACAGCTCTGTGTACATGGCGCATTCAAAATCATCAAGCAACTTGTCACCGAGTTGTTCTTTCACTCACTCTGCATCAGATCATCCCTCCACTCCACCCCCTGTCGTCCCCACCGGCCGTTTCCGGGGACCCTGGCCTCCTTTGTCCACAGCATCCACGGTGGCGCCCGCGGCGAGGAGCTGCTCCACGACGGCGGTGTGGCCGTTGCCAGCCGCGCGGTGCAGCGGTGTGTCGCCTCAGGCGCCGAAGGGCTCGGAGACGTCAACGGCTGGAGGGCTCCACCCCGTTGCTCTCCACCGCCCACCCCCACTGCAGTGGAAGAAACTGCAATCTGTGGAGTGAAGTCCGTGAGTTTCATCTTTTTTTTAATTGTATAGCGAGCTGGTTCAATGGCAGCCACTAGGTTCAATGGCAGCCACTATCGCTGCTGGTGTTATTAAGATCACCAAGACTACGTACTGGTGGAACCTTCCACAACAGAAAATCCGAAAAAGGGAAAACCATGGAAAACCGTTTTCTTACGCCTAACAAAACTTATCTCAACATAATATAATCCAATTGCATCCATCTGCCATAATTAATAATCCTAGACCCCCAAAATGTCCCCTAAACTTGACTCAACCACCCGAACCACTGTGTGACATACCCGCAACACAAACTTGCAACTGCTGTCTACTGGTAGTTGACTTCTCAACATGGAGTTTCATCCTTTTCAAAATTGTGTGGCAAGCTGGCTCAATGGCAGCCACTATCGTTGCTGGTGTTTGTGAAGATCAACAAGACTACGACTACGACCTGATCATACCTTCCAAAGCTGAAACTCGGAAAAGCGAAACCGAACTGATTGTATGTCTGATAAAACATCATAAAACCTTATGTATCAGGCTCTTTTACACCCATAAAGGGTTAATCAAGGTTGCACATGTGCGAGATCACCTCTCAGAAGCTGTGCATCCCAGCAGGGACAACTTCATGACTTCATGTGCCTGATTTCCTTCTAATTGTCCACCCTGTGGCTCTCACCTGGGTTCATCTCCAGCTAAGGTGGCAAACACCATCGAATTTCATCCTGAAATCCGTGGCACCGCCTTCCCACCACGTCCGTCCTGTCGCATCCGTCCCGTCTCTGGGGGCCGCTGCCGTTGCTACCCTTCGCCTCCATGGAGGCGCTGGCGGCGAGCAGCGCCTGGACCACCTCCGGGTGGCCGTTTATAGCCGCCAGGTGCAGCGGCTCGTTGCCTCGGTCCGGGGGGCGCCGCTGGAGATGGCGACGAGACGTGCCAAGTCACATGAGTTGCTTCGGAGGATTTCGGAGGATTTCGGGGCTGAAAAATGGGAGTTTGGTCATGTTTGGTCCACCATTTCAAATTGAGACATGCATCACTGCCCATCAAAATCAAGATCAACTGATTGGGAAGTCACACCTCTGCAGTGCCATACACTGCAAACCAGATCAAAGATTCACAATAACACACTACAATCTAAGCAAGAAATCATTAGATCCATTTGCATCCATCTGCCATAATTAACAATTACTAGACCCGCAAAATGTCTCCTCAACTTGACTCAACCACCCGAACCACTCTGAATAATATTGTCAAACTTGTAACTGGTGTCTACTGGTACTTGACTTCTCAACATGCACAATCACGTAAAGTCCACTGAAGATTCCTGGAACAAAGTTCCCAAAACTGGCAGCAAATTCGATGTCGTGTCGCGTCTCTTCCGCTTTTTGCCTGTTGCACCGCCTTCCCACCACGTCCGTCCTGTCGCATCCGTCCCGTCTCTGGGGGCCGCAGCGGTTGTCGTTCTTCGCCTCGACGGAGGCGCCCGCGGCCAGCAGCGCCTCGACCACCTCCAGGTGGCCTTCCTGAGCCGCAAAGTGCAACGGCCCGTTGCCTCGGTCCGGAGGGTGCCGCTGGAGATGGCAACGATTTCGGAGGATTTCGGATCTGAAAAACTGGGAGTTTGGTCATGTTAGGTCCAGCATTTCAAATTGAGACATTTATCACTGCCCATCAAAATCAAGATCAACTGATTGGGAAGTCACACCTCTGCAGTGACATACACTGCAAACCAGATCAAAGATTCACAATAACACACTACAATCTAAGCAAGAAATCATTAGATTCCATTTGCATCCATCTGCCATAATTAACAATTACTAGACCCGCAAAATGTCTCCTCAACTTGACTCAACCACCAGAACCACTCCGAGTCATAATGTCAACTGTGACATACCCGCAACATCCCGCAACACAAACTTGCATCTGCTGTATACTGGTAGTTGACTTCTCAACATGGAACCTGAGAAGGGGTGGAACGAAAGCCAGCGCTTGCTTTTTGACTCGCGCGGGGGCGCGTGAAACTCCACCTCATCCATATGGCATGGCTCAAGCATGAAGCGCCCCAACATCAACAATTGCTATCGGGTCATAATTTTCCAATCATTAAATGGACCTTTTTAGGGTAAACTCCACGATTTTGTAACTTCTATATCCAAATATGTGTCCTACAATGTACTGCGGCATTGTGAAAAGTTCTATCTCAAGTTCCGTAAATCCGCCTTTGGTTGCTCATTTATCTTAAAACAGCGCAAGTTTGCTCCCACCTATTGTAGATAAATAATACCCGTTTTTTTGTGTGAACAGTGGTCATGTGACTTCTCAAAGTCTAAATTGTTTTCTCCCCAGAATCGTGGTCCATGCTTCTCCGCGAAGTTCCGCAACATTTTGGCCGTACGGTGAGAAATCAAAACATAGCTCTACTCGCAAAATGGGCAGTGCAAACCCAAGACAATATAACATACGTAAGAAAGGGTATAAGAACGAATGAAAATCGAGGAAAACAATGCAAAACCCACGGGAAATATAGAACAGTGGCGAACATGCAGTCCAAATCAAAAGTATGTATATTTAGGCCATTTACAGACCTGGGTACCCCCCCAACCCCCCCCACCCCCCAAGGGTCTGGAAAATAGGTATTTTACAGGAAATGTCGCGGAATAGCATCATCCCTGACATCGATCGATAGAGATAATTGTTTGGCATTCCGGAAAATCTTCTCAGCTATCACACTCGCCAAACATCCCTTTTTAAAAGGCACACATACTATCACGGACGTACAGATGCGTATCATTCCCGTCATTGCCATTAGAAGATTCAAATTCTTTCTCGATGTTTTAGTACAAGATTCACTTTTAGTTCTGTTTCAGCCTTCTCAGTACGGCCTCTTACAATGATATTACAGCATTTGTCTCCTAACCTAGGTGGCTCCTGGGCGCAATCTTCATTCCAATGCTTTGTGACAATAACCAGATGCCTGGAGCCTATGCATCACTTGACAGTCGACTCAGTTCTAAACCGGAAAGACTATTCCTTCCGTTTACCAGTAGATCGTTTTTGTAGTTCTTATCACAAAACTACCAGAATCAGGGAGGCACCAAAAAACGTCAAACAGCTTTAAGCATTATTATAAATACTCTAATCTGCAGATTGTATTTATTTTTCTTACACTGTGAACGAAATCACAGTTTTCTAACTTCACACAGATTACCATGAAACCAATTTTCCCATGCAACTCCTCAAATCTTACAACTCATACATCTTTTTTCCTATACCATCCGCATCTTGCTCCAAGGTTTCATGGCAATGTCTTGTACGCGAGTCAGCCACTATTTCCTATCACCAAACTACATTGCTCATCATCTAACATTATCTACAGAAACCAAATCGGATTTCCTGCTCAACTTTTCCGCTCGTTAACATTGTCTTGGTTTTCACTATATTTTTAAAGCATCTTTAGTTATAACATGTTCCTAGGTTTTCACTGTATTTTTCTAACATGTTACATGCCTCCTAGCATGTTCACGCGTGTCCTCCATGTTGTACTGTTTTCTACATCGTTTCCTCTAGTTGTTACAAGCATTTCCTAGCTTGTACACCGTTTTCCTAATATTGTCACAACTTTTCTTCCAGTTTCCACTGCGTTTTCTACCGTTTCCTGTGGTTACTTTCTTCTCTTTTGTAAGTTTTCACTGTGTTTTGTCCAGTTTTTTTAATTACATGCTTCCTACCATTTTCACCGCTTTCCTCTATGGCTTTTTGTACCATTTCCTCTCGTTTCCTGCATTTCATGCATTTTCAATATATTTTTTCCAAGAGTTTTACCCGTCTCCTTCAGTTTCCGATCGTTTTTGCACCATTTCCTCTGGTTGTTATCGCATTTTCCTGCACTTTCACTGTATTTTTCCAGCATGTTTACTGCATCGTCATAGTTTGTTCCTAGCAGTCACTCCGGTTTCCTCCATGTTCCAACAGATTTTGCATGGTTTGTTCCTAGCATTTTCCTCTGATCGTTATCATGCTTTCCTCAAGTTTCATTGTATTTTCCAATACATCCTCTTCGTGGGGTTTCAATATGTTTTATCCAGGTGATCTATCAGTTCTTTCACACCTTGGAAAGACGTCCCATTCACCAATCAAACGGAGGTACAGTCATCCGATCTGCTGCTCTCCAACACATCTCTTACTTTCATTCGGTACCATGATCACTCCACTTCTCCAACCCTCTAGCTTTTAACGTTCTCCACTTGCACTCGTCGCAATACATTTTCCTAGCGTTCTCAACACTTCTGCCACTACTTTCGAAACCCGGGGGGGAAGCAGGTCTGTAAGTTGCTATATTTTTGTCCACCAATTTCCAACACTTTTCCTCTTTTTTAACGTCGTTTTCGCAGATTTTCCTGCGCGCCACTGGTCTTTCCATCGTTTCCGCTCGTTAACATTGTCTTGGTTTTCACTATATTTTTTAAAGCATTTTTAGATATAACATTTTCCTTGGTTTTCACTGTATTTTTCTAACATGCTACATGCCTCCTAGCATGTTCACGCGTGTCCTCCATGTTGTACTGTTTTCTACATCGTTTCCTCTAGTTGTTACAAGCATTTCCTAGCTTGTACACCGTTTTCCTAATATTGTCACAACTTTTCTTCCAGTTTCCACTGCTTTTTCTACCGTTTCCTGTGGTTACTTTCTTCTCTTTTGTAGGTTTTCACTGTGTTTTGTCCAACTTTTTTTATTACATGCTTCCTACCATTTTCACCGCTTTCCTCTATGGTTTTTTGTACCATTTCCTCTCGTTTCCTGCATTTCATGCATTTTCAATATATTTTTCCAAGAGTTTTACCCGTCTCCTTCAGTTTCCAATCGTTTTTGCACCATTTCCTCTGGTTGTTATCGCATTTTCCTGCACTTTCACTGTATTTTTCCAGCATGTTTACTGCATCGTCGTTTGTTCCTAGCAGTCGCTCCGGTTTCCTCCATGTTCCAACGGATTTTGCACCCTTTATTCTGGTTGTTATCACATTTTCCTGCCAGGTTGTTATCACATGTTCCTTCACTGTATCTTTCCAGCATTTTCCAGTGGATTTTGCACGATTTCCTCTGATTGTTATCATGTTTTCCTGCAGTTTCTATATCCTCTTCGTGGGTTTTCAGTCTATTCATGCATTTTTAATCTAGTTTTCCAAGATTTTTACCCGTCTCCTTTTTGCACCATTTCCTCTGGTTTGCTACATTTTCAATGTATTGTTCCAAGAGTTTTACCCGTCTCCTTCATTTTTCCGATCGTCTTTGCACCATTTCCTCTGGTTGTTATCGCATTTTCCTGCACTTTCACTGTCTTTTTCCAACATGTTTACTGCATCGTCATAGTTTGTTCCTAGCAGTCACTCCGGTTTCCTCCATGTTCCAACAGATTTTGCATGGTTTGTTCCAAGCATTTTCCTCTGATCGTTATCATGCTTTCCTCAAGCTTCATTGTATTTTCCAATACATCCTCTTCGTGAGGTTTCAATATGTTTTGTCCAGCATTTTTTTACTACATGTTTCCTATCATTTTCACCTCTTTCCTCCATAGGTTTTTGCACCATTTCCTCTGGCTTCCTGCATTTTCATACCTTTTCAATATTAATATTAATCCAAGAGTTTTACCTGTCTCCTTCATTTTCCGATCCTTTTTGCACCATTTCCTCTCGTTGTTATCACATTTTCCTGCACTTTCACTGTATTTTTCCAGCATGTTTAGTGCATCGTCATGGTTTGCGCCTAGCATTCGCTCCGGTTTCCTCCATTTTCCAAGGGATTTTCCATGGTTTGTTCCTCGCATTCGCTCCGTTTTCGTCCGTTTTCCAGGGGACTTTGCACGATTTCCTCTGATCGTTATCATGTTCTCCTGCAGTTTCATTGTATTTTCCAATACATCCTCATGGTCTCTCCGGCCACCAAAAAGGCGGACCTAGGGGGAATCGATACCCCACCGTCAGCAAATTGCCTAGTGGTACATAATCCAGCGTTTTCTCGCGCTCAACACAGGGGCACGGCGAGATTTCGTTCCCTTTCGGCAACCCCCCCCCCACACCCCCTATTCTCACTTCGTTCGCAAACAGCAACTAGCCAGCTAGCTGGCTTTCGTAATAAATCTGCAGTATACTGGTAGTTGACTTCTCAACATGGAATATGAATAATGTAAAGTACACTGTTCCTGGAACGAAGTTCCCAAAACTGGCAGCAAACTCAATTTCGTGTCGCATCTCTGTCACATTTCACCTGTTGCACTGCCTTCCCACACCGTCCTGTCACATCCGTCCTGTCTCTGGGGGCCGCAGCCAATGTCGTTCTTCGCCTCGACAGAGGCGCCCGCGGCCAGCAGCACCTGGACCACCTCCAGGTGGCCTTCCTGAGCCGCAAAGTGCAACGGCCCGTCGCCTCAGGCTCCGCTGATGATGGCGACACCACGCGCAAAGTCACAGGTCGGTCATGTTCCGACTGAAACCCGTATCAGCAACGGATTGGGAAGTCACAGCTGCGCACCTATAACAACCTCCTCAACCTTCAAGCCTATCCCTTCTCAGGTGTCCGCCATCTTCGTCGACTTGCTCCAGGCTCTGGGGGTCCACCTGCAGCAAGCGTCGGACAGCTCCGACGTTGCCTTCTTTCGCAGCCTGCAGGATGTCTCCGCCTCAAAGCGGAAACTCTGGATGTCTGGCAGTGTTTGGCAGTCCAAGGTTTATTCAAAATATACCAGTGGATCGGTCATAATGTCATAATAGTATTCATATAATGTATAGTTTTTGCGGCTTGTGCGTTCCTGAACTTGGTTCATTCGACTACTAACAAATATTAACAAACGATTGTCATGCACTGGCAGCACCCAGAGTGCAAAAGCATATTTAAACACATTTAATAAAGGCATCTTTCAAAGCCCAATGTCACATGTCATTGAGCATGGATCCTCAAGCATGTGGAATCCTCAAGTCTGAGATCTCAGCAGTTTTCGATTTCAGTTTTATCTGCCTGGAAAGCAAAGCACGACATTTTGGACTACCAAAAAATTAAGCGAAAAGAGATCTTAGAGATTCAGCTCTAGTTTTTTCTGTCGCAGAAAAGGCGTGGAAAATATGATGCCTGCATTGGGTTGGTCTGAGATTGAAACCCGAAATCTAAGGAATGCTTGGAGGTCACCCAGTGAGGGACATGTGCCGCAGACAGGACGAATTATGGAAATCATCGAGGTGGATACAATATGATACAATATCAAAACAAAAAATGTAGATCCCAACAAAGCAAGATAAAGCCAGTCAAATCAGTCAATACGACCTACCGCGCCAACACGTCCTCGTGAATACTTCTCAACTCTGTGAAACTTTGTCCCCTGTGGATCCCAATGGAAACAACTTCCCCCAGATCGCCAGTCCTCCGCTTCCACCTTGGAACCTCAGGATTTGACGTGTTTTCGTGGTGAGTCCTCATGGAAAGCCAAGTTGTTCATCTACCACCATTGGACTTGGAAGAACCTGCGACCCGCATCAACTGTGGACTGTCCACCGTCATCAACATCAACCATCTATGCTTACTCCAGATGCTGACACTCATGACTTGTCAAAAGCCGTCTTCGACGCGACACCCTTGTCGAATATGACGCGGTGCCCTGTCATTGGACGGACCCGGTGAGAAAGGCCAAATCAAGTTCCTTTCGGGTGAAGTTGGATGGAATAAGTCTGCCACCTTCCCGTCGGATGTTCTCATTGCTTTCTTTATGAAAAATCCATCTGAGTCATCAACTTCAAAGTAAGGTCTGACTGCTGACTTTCAAGGCATTGGAAGGGTCTAAGTCTAAAGATGTCTCAAGACCTCAACATCCTCAACGGAGCTGCGCCAAGAGACCAAGGTCATTCGGCTCTGAGATGTTGAGCTCTGTCTGAACATCTTGCCTGGCTGATCCACATGGATCAGGGCGATGAAAAACTCGGGAAGGAACGAAGACTTCACAGCGATCATCGAAATGCCCACAAAGTGGCTTGAAACCACAGCCAATTGTTCAGCCTATTGTCCTGTTTTATGTTTACATGTGTTTACCATATCATGACAACCTTGGCAGTTCTGGCCGAAGGACGGTAATCATTCTGGCAAGATGCGATGAAACATCGGCTTGATGACCACTCTCAGAGTTGGATGCTGGTGCGAAAATCCACCGCAGGAAGTGCGAGTAGGGAACTCGTTGGTCTTGAAACATCTCCTTAACACAGCCCACTGACCTTCGACTTCCTTGCCATCTTTCAATGTGTTCCGCAAAAACATCGGACAAGTCTTGTCTGAGTGCGACAGAAAATCACCCCACAGCTGAAACTTGAAAGTCAAGAGTGACGACCTGAATCTGATCCAGTGGAAACTCAATCTAGGTCCTAGGTCCTAATTAGATATCCAAAGATTTCTGTATGAAACGTGTATCAAACCAAGCATCTGTGGTTTGAAGCAAGGCTAACCTTGGCGAATGAAGCACCACATTGCAGCTGTGTCTTGGTGGTTTAGTGATCCCTGATCTTAGTAAGATGAATGGTAAAGAGGTAGTTCCATCTAATCGCAAAAACGGCTGAAGTTTTCAAATGATACAAGTGTATGTCTACAATTCATCCAGGGATATGTCTACAATTCATCCAGGGACGGGGGCGTTTCTCCATTTCTGACTTTTGGATACCTTTGGCAGTTCAGGTCCTGTCATTCTGATGCGGACATGGCGACATGACAAGGTGAGCCAGGCAGCTCTTGATCAGAAACACCAAGGCCAGAGAGGATGGACAGCAGCTCCTCCTTCCCGAGCGTTCCACTTCCTGAGTCCCATCACCAAGTCCAACGACACGAACCCAGGAGCAGATCGCATCAAAAACGCACAGCAGATCCCAAAACTGTTGCAGTTGAGAGTCCGGTGGGATCCAAGTGCTGGAAAATTGCTTCGACACCAGCATAGTCTGCCTGGCGCGCTAGACAGGAACTTCAGAAGTTGGGTGTTTCTGAAGTGAGGGCCCAACAAGAATCCACCATGGACCATTTCGTTGCCTTTGTTGGGAAATGCAACAGTTTGGGGATTGGGATGCCTCCCTGTTTTTTGGGACATCCCTAAGGTGCATCAACAGCCTTGGCCCTCACTGACGGTTTCGGACTTATCACCCTAGAATTGCATTAATTTGCATAGATTTGCCGCTTCTTGGCGTGGATGTCAACGATATGGAGTGTTAACTCGGAAATAAAACTTAGACCAACCAACTACTAAAAACAAAGCCGGTGAGAAGCTGAAACGACGCAGCTGGACATCCGCAAACACATCCATGAAAGGGGAAATAGTTCCTACAGCATAGACTACAGTATAGAAATCTAAAAAACATCATATACATCCCTGTTGGAATTCGGACCAAACCTGGGGGTTCAATTCTATCGGGACTAAATCGAAGACCCAGGTCGACGAGGGGGGATTTTCCCTATAAAATGGAAACCCTGCCAAGTTAACAGCCGCCTGCCACTCCTATAAAATGAAAATCCAGCTTCACACTGGCCGCCACGTTGAACAAATTCTCCACTATAGAATGAAAAACTGAGTCTAGGTGATTAAGAGACAGACCCCCTATAGAATAGAAAACTGGGTGTGCAAGGCTAAAAGTTTGGTTTCACTTTTTGGATCTGGGCTGGCACCATTCCATCAAAGAACATACTTGGGGACTATTTTATAGAGGGGAGGTTAGATTTCCATTTTATAGGAGCTGATCCAAGAGGAGCCGTGCTTCAGCATGGCCAGGCTCAGAAACATTCATATATCATATAAGCATGTAATTATATATATATAACTAATTAAATAAATAATTACTTAATTAATTAAAATATATATATATGTACATGTGTATTGTTTTGTTTATTCATTTCACTCTGATAGTTTATTAATTTAGATACACGCACCACTGCACCACTATTTTCAATTGTTCACATCACTTCACACACAAGTATTTGTGCTTCACTTGGATCAACATACTGTTTGACGTGATTTGAGCTTATTGGATAACACTGTTGATTACTTATTTGGTTGCAGTATGTTTCAATCTGTTACAATATTTACACTATTATGTTGCCTACTGACAAGCCCCCCTGCCACTCCTATAAAATGAAAACCAAGCCTGACACTGACAAACCATTATATAAATAAATAAATACAATAAATACATAATATATACACTATAGAATAAAACACTGGGTCCCAGTGATCAAGAAAAAGACCCCCTACTGAATAGAAAACGTTGTTTCCAAGGCCCAAAATGTGGTTCACGTTTGGATCTGGGCTGGCACCTTTCAAGCAAAAAAATCTTTGGGACAATTTTTTAGAAGAGTGGTTGGATTTCCATTTTATAGGAGCAGCCCTGCTAAAAGCTGATTCGTTAACAGTGTTGATTACTTTTTCTGTTACGGTATTTAATTTGCACTATCATTGTCCACTGACAAGCCCCCCTGCCACTCCTACAAAATGAAAACCCGGCCGGACACTGACCACCACTTCTAACAGATTACCCACCAAACAATAAAACACTGAGTCCCAGTGATCAGGAAAAAGACCCCCTACTGAATAGAAAATGCTTTTTCCAAGGCCCAAAGTTTGGTTTCACGTTTGGATCTCGGCTGGCACCTTTCAAGCAAAAAAATCCTTGGGAACCATTTTTGAGAAGAGCGGTTGGATCTCCATTTTAAAGGAGCAGCCCTGCACAAAACTGATTGGGTAACAGTGTTGATTACTTATTCGTTTACAGTATGTTTCAATATTTTGCAGTATCATACAGTATTTACAATATTATTGCCCACTGACACCTCCCCTCCCACTCCTATAAAATGAAAACCCAGCCTCATACTGGCCACCGCTTCTAACAAATAATCCACTATAGAATGAACAACTGGGTCCCAGTGATTAGGAAAAAGACCCCTATAGAATAGAAAACTGGGTTTGCAAGGCCTTAAGTTTGGTGTCACTTTTGGATACGTTTTTTTTCCCAAACCGGCTGGGCACAAGCCAGGTACCATTCTATAGTAAAACCTGGCCTACCAACTAGCCCCCTATAGAATCGTATGCCCAGGTTCTGTATTCTATATGGTTTATTCCAAGGAGGATTCATATACCATGATATACCACTTGAACTTGCGAGACAATCCTTCTGTAACCACAACTTGTTTTTGCAGTGTCAACTGAGATGATTAGAGAAACCTAGGTCAATCGGTGAAAACCTGCAAGAAGTTGAAACAAATGCCCCGGACATTCGTAAACAGAACGGTAAAATTAAAAGTGGAAATCTTTGGACCCGATTCGTCAAGGAAGCGGGTGAGAACCAGCCCTGACTTGATCCCAACAAGTTTGTTGTTTTCACATGTTTTCATCATATCAGCTTCCAACGTTAGAACAGCGTGGATCCCGAAGTTGGAGGTCTCACATCTGGGATGCCCTGCCGAGGTATCTGGGCCATCCTTTGCCATGAAGGTGGAATTCCCTAGGGGAAATTCCGCAAGGATGGTGAAACTCCGCAAGAAATGTGGTGAAAACATGAAAACTTCTGGTTCCAAGTTCCAAGTCGATCACCTGTTGAAACTCTGGAGGTCTGGCAATCCATTGATTTCAAACCAGGACAGGCTCTGGAACGGAATAAGAGCCATTTCTCGCCAAGGGTAAGCAACAAGCCGGGTCTGGATTGCACCAGATTCACTAAAGATTCATATGTGGTCAAATCTAGGTTAGTCATGGTGTGATGTCTCTGCAATCCTGAAGGTCAATGAACTCTGGGTGAAAAAAGTGTAAGCTGAGCCGAGAACTACAGGAATTCGAACCTTTAGTATAATGTGCACATGAATCACCTTCAAATTACTGTATTTCTCCCATGCCATGTCCATGTCTCAACAAATACCTACGTCCTGTCACTGCCTGAAGCAAACGTCCGAAGGTTTTGCGACTTGGCGCATGCTCAGTTGCAAGGCTTTTTCAGGTTCCTCTACCTTGAGAGTAGCAGGAACTTTTAGCCCCATGTTCTAGATGTTTTGAATGTCTCACTTCGGGTGAACTCTTCTGATCGTTAAGGATGATCTGCCTGTTACTTGACCTAATTTAATCCGGAATCACAAAGGATCGCACCATCGGAGGGTGGAATCCGGCAGCAGTACGCTTTGATTTCCGCCACATTCTTCGATTTTTTTTGACTTTGCCTAATTGGCAAAGATGCCACTGCTGGTAACAGAATCCGCAATCTGGTCGGCAGCGCCTTCGGCATTGTTCATCTGCCGATCATCTACAAACACAAGGCCATTCTTAAACACCAGGCGATTTTGAAAAGTGCCTCTTTCATTGTTTTGTGGCGCAGGTGGCCACTGCTCACACAGCCTAATGGGGAATATATACAAATTGTTGTCGTGTGCATATTCCAATTCATGGAAGGTTTCGTAGCCAGCACCAGTATAGGCGCCGTACTCCGAAGTGCAGAAGGCCACCATGCCTTTGGCACGGCCCAATCCTATCCGCGTCAGCTCGGCAAAACTTTGGCCGACCTGAGCTTGCACCATATATACAGGTATTCGTCTCTCTTCCAAGCGCCTCTTCACCGCTTTCATGTAGTCGATGACCCTCAGTGGCCGACAGTCCGCCGAGCATCCAGAATGAAACTTAAGAAAAGATTAAACACGGTTCACAGATGCAGGATCAAACTTCAACAACATGATTCAACTATGTTCAAGTGACATTTTTTCTTCCCCAACCTTCGACAAGAATCGTATCACTGTTGAAGCGGCCGCTCAGCAACAGGTGACCTCTCTCTGGCCGCTCCTGTGCCTGAGCGGTCTGTCACAGGAGCTGGATCCAATCATGGATCTCGTCGGTTTCCGATTTCTGAAATTTTTGAAGGACAAGCATTCTTGTTCTATGAAAATGTGTGTGTGTGTTGCGATTCTGGATCTCATCCAAAAATGCGCATAAAACATCATAAAACCATATAAAACCAGTAATACGCAGTGCCGACCATCTGATTTACCGGGCAGAAGGCAAGGTCCCACTGTAAATTCCCATTCGGCTCTTCTGTTTCAATCTTCCACTTTTCTTAACTTATTGTTCGCACCCCATCAACTGTTTTAACTTCTATCAAATCTAACTAGTATAGATTCTGATGAATATTCTAAAAAATTATCAAATATTATCCATTTGAAGAATTCGACAATTCCAACCCCAAAATCTCCAAGGCTTCGGCCGCCACAGTTGACGTTGCAGCCACCGTTGGATCACCGTTGGTGCCGAGTAGCCATCGGCACGTCTGAGGTCATCGCGGCCGCGGGCATCGCCTGCCCAGGTCCCGTGGAGCCAATGGCAACTTTTGAATGGGGAAATCTGGGGAAAGTTAGGAAACCCGTGGAAAACCTCAGACAATAGGGTGAAAATTCGGTGTTAGCATCAAATTTTGGAGTTGTCCCATAATTATGGCCATTTTGAGTGGGGAACATGTTGGAAAAGGATGTTTTTGTCGACCATGACCGTGTTTCATGGGGAATTACCCATCAAATCTTGGGGTTCTCCCGTGAATGTGCAAACATACCCAAATATAAAGCACGTGTGGATGCACCTGTGGATGCACCTGGAAAAGGCAGTGAGATGACTTTGGGGGTTCGATGTTTGATGTTTACCACGCAACCCCACTCCACTGCGCCTGTGAGGTCGTTGGAGCTGACTGGAGATCCGATGCTGTTGGGTTTGAAGCTGTTGCATTCGTGGCTGCCTCTGACCGAAGTTCTTCGAACTGATGGTCATCCCCTTCAATTTCGACACTGAAGTGGCTTGCAGAGTCAGCCACAAGTTTCCGGGAAATCTGTGGCATTCGGTGGAACCTGACTCTCATGTTCATCGCTTCTTGCCCTTGACGGAGCTGCAGGACTTCGTCGTGGCGATACGTTCCCAGCGGTACGCTGGGACCGCATTTCTTGAAGGATCCCAACATGTCAGCATCGGAGCACAGCTGCTCCAAACTGTTCTGACACGACTCGCACGCCACGTGTAGCAATGCGACTTTGCCGTTTGCACCGTGTGGATCGATGAATCCCACAGCTTTCAGGCCACATGGCCCTGTGGCCACAACATCACAAAAGTGGCTCAGTGCCACCACCACTCGGCCATCGCTGAATTTCGCACCCAGTAGTCGTTCCCAGCCTGCGGCCGGGAAACCGAACCAAGAAGCAACAATTGGGTGAGACCAAACGTAAAACCACACCGTGCAAAACCGAACCGGCATGAAGAATTGGAAACCGAACCACGGTTCAGGTTCCTTACCAACTCACATTTTTGTCTGTGAAAGTCTTGGATCAGGCCAACCTGAAAACAACTGCTGGTATCGAGTTTCAACAATAATTAATTACATGGTCAAAAGGTATAGACTACCACCCCTGAATCAATAGGTACCCACCACCGAAATCAGTTCTATAACTAGCCCAGTTCAACCCAAACCGCAACTGGCCACCCTGCCTGTGGCTGATGATCTCCAAACAGATTCCGCACCAACACATAATGGCATCTCAACCTGACGGAGGTTTCGAAAGTTTTACGTTGTCAAAGAACCCGAATCGTCATGGTATTGGTATTACGCGTCAAGACCCATATTTTGAGGTTGGCGCATTCATGGATCTTGCACGTGTTTCACAAAACAAAATCTTGAACATATCTTGAACATATCTTGAACATCAATTTACGTATGGCTGTAGCGTGCATGACACCAGATCGGACAAGCTATGCTTTCCTTTTCCTTTGCCTTTTGTATCTTCTCCCAAGGATCTGGAAGAACTGTGCTTTTCTGCATTGGGGGAGTCTTTCCAAGGCCATAGAAAAGGAGCCCCTTTTGAATCGTTTAAGCTCCCTGTCCGGATTGAATGTCAACTACGTAATTACTTCAGTTGCCTGCGCATGGCATCCATCGGTTCCATTTTCGTGGCACGAAACTTCTTTGGGCACAGGCGAAATGGATCAAAAGGGTATTAGTATATAGCCTTTGAACGCCTTTGCCCCCCTGCCTCCACTGGCTTTGGAAACGTGACGTCTTCCGGACTGAGACGCACCAGTTGGCTCAGTGCCACGTGTCCGGGAGGGAGCACCTGAAGTTGCAAAAGCTACAAATCAAAACCGACGCGCCCACAAGCACGATCATAGTGACCATATTGAAGATAACAGGGTGTAAAACGTGTTTGTGCAACAAACAAACTGCAATGCAGATTCCGGAGTCATGGAGCCATGGTATGATCCACGTCTCCTGCTGACATGAACACTTCAGTCATCTCATGAAAATGTTTCAACGCAAAAGGTGTTTTGCCTCAGAAACTTGCTCAGGAGAGTACGGGTATCTGAATACACAGCTGGGGCAAGGAATTTCTGGGTCCAATCTGGATCATCAACTACGTGTATATATATACACACATATTATACATTTATTTTTACTTATTTATTTATTTATTTATTTATTCATCTATTAATATATTTATTTATTGAATTCATTTATTTATTTGTTTATTTAATATATTTAAGTTTAGTTTATTTATTTATATTGCATGTATCCACCCTATCAACGAGGAATCTTTTTTGGGAACTTCTGCCCAAGTTTCATATTTGCATATTTTGGCACAAGAATTGCTGAAATCTCAAATTTATGCCGACGATGTCCAATTCTGCCGCAACGGAGTTGTCATTGGTCGACATTCTGATACCGAGAAAACCAGGAACGGGAAGGTCATGTTTTCTGTCTTGATCTTGGGAAGGGTATGTGTATGTGTGTATGAGATAAAGTTTATCTACTGTAGCACACTAAATGTACATAAATGTACATTGTGCAATGGGATGTCATGCAATTCAATGCGTTGTATTTCCTGTCCTGTACTAAATATAGATCGGGCGTAGCAAAATCATTCAAAATCAATGAATCAATACTATGATTCAGGTGTCACAGCTTGGCAGACCCCCACAACGCAGAGACCCTGTGAACAAAAGTACATGCTTTCCGCCACAAAACAGCTGGTATTTTGGTACTGCATATCATGGCTCGAAGTCAATGACACCCAAAATGATATCAAACCTTCAGTATTAATACATATTATCCTTCACCGCCCAAGCATCGGCTGGTTTGCGGACGAGACACTTCCTCCAAGGAGGATGGATCCTTCAGATCCTTCCAGTCTGCAAGCACTTCCATCCTGGGCCCGTACTCATCGAAAACGGATTGCGCCGTCTTCATCGAAATCCCATGGCCGAAGTCCTTCAGCACCACAGGGTCCTGGCGACAACGAAATCAACGGACTGCCTAGCCGCCTGGCATGAGAAATCCTGTCGTAAAAAGTCACTTCCTACACATGGTGCCGCACGATGCCGCATGTCTAAACGAATGTCTTTGCACACATATGTAGTTTTCTGCCAAACACTTTAGTAGCAAAACCAATGTTGCTCCAATAAACGATACAAACGCGCAAAACAGGACACATCTATAAATATGTGTGGCTTTCAAAATTGATAATACAAATGCGTACTTCGATTTGTCCGAAGTCTTGTGTCCAATGCTTTTTCTATCAGAGTCACTAGGACGGCCGTCAGGGTGTTTCCAGGCAGAATGTTGGTTTCTTGCAGAGTCATCGCTCCATTCCTGGACCAAGCTCCAGCCCACCATTTTGGGGAGACCACAGTGACTTGTCAAATCAAGGCTGATGCCGTTGATGCACTCGCTTCATGGGCTCCAAGAGAAATCAAGTTGATCGATTTGTGATTGAGGTTCAAGGAGAAAACTTACGGTGTCTCCAGAAGGATATAGAGGTGGCTACATTCTCAAGAGACTTCTAATAATTCGATATGTTGCTTATTATCATCTTTGTATTCGTGGCTGAGTCGGCTATTGGGTCAGTACTTACACTTCTTCAAGATGTTGGTGTGTCAGGGGTGCAGCAGGAACTCCTATCCCAGTTGCAGCATGCAGAGAGGACTTTGTCGTATAAAATCACGTCCACGAGTCACAGTTTCACCACAATGCCAAAGTCTAGATAGTCTATGTTCACCGAAACACCGTGCCCTTTTTCCAGGCTGCATTCTACAACACTACAGGGCACCCCAAGAAATAATGAGTTCTAGCAGTGAACCAACTCATGAGCTCTAAATCAGTTGGAGAATACCCATTAGCAGCGTCCATGCCGCATCAACTGTGCCAAGCAGCAGCGGCTGCATGTCGGGGCCAATGAGATGCTCGATAGTCGTTCCCAACTTGCGCCTCGGATCCACAATCGACAGATGTGGCACGTGTAGCAATGTAGCACGGCTTCTGTTGAAAGCATCGCTAGGTGCAAAGGAAATGTGGAAATGTTATTAAGATGTCATCAGGAATATGTAACAGGGGAGCGAATCCATCTAAAAAGGGAAGTTAATGAAACGATTGAAACAAAAAGCGTCTTACATGAGTGGCTGGGGTATGCTCTGCCTCTATTTGCCAGGGCCAACAAGTGCTGGTTGCACCCATTTTGAACATCCTTGCTACAATTCACGGTCGCAGAAATGTTCTTGCATGGTGGTGCCGCGATGTCTTCCTTCACATTTCTTGACAGAATTTGTTGGAGAATTCTCAGGCAACATTCATGAAGGAAGTCTGCAAGCACTGTGCACAAAAGAGGTTGCTGTGATTGGCCCTGTCGTTGAAATCGGAGTAATGAAATCGATCAATCACTTCAGAACCCACCATATGTCTGTTTCTACTTCATAGTTATAAGAGAAATGCAATGGCAAGGCTCTTACGGAAGGAAAGTAGGAAAAGAAACACATCATCTACGCATTTCACAAGCTTTCACACGTGTTGACTACAGGAAGGCTGTCAACAAGGAAAACCTGGGCACGCCAAAGCTGGCCCAAAGAAGCTTACACTGTAAGGATGCCAAGCCGCTCCGCTTCCTCCTTCAAGTCTTGTACAGTTTCATGCGCAGAGTTGCCTCGGTGTTTTCCACTGGTAGAGGTTTCCAAAACCAAGTTATAGACAGCATGGCTACATGATCTTTATCTTATACTGCGATAGGTTTGGGAAGAAATTCTACCACATGGCTGCGGATCACAGTTTTTCTCGCCAGCTCAAGACAAACCCATCTCTTCGCAATTCATGTCAAGTATACGAAGTGTAGAGTCACTTGAATCAAATCTACTGGTATCATCTCACATCATGCATCATTGCATTTTTTTACAATTGCTGTAGTATCTGCATCAAAGTTGTTTGTGTTTCGCAAGGCTTCCGCTGCTTTCCGACCAGCCGAGGCACATCTGCAGCTCCGGCCACTGAGAAGGGCCACAAATACCTCACCCAAAGAAAGGCAACGCATCGGAGTCAATTCGAGCGCATGACAGCTTAACAACATCAGGATTGCAACGACCCAATAAGAGCCACTGTCATTTCCTGGTGAGTTCCTAAAGCCTACGTGTGCCAAAGCCCTGGTCCACCAAGGGATGTTCATCCCAGCGCCAAGGGACCGGGTCCAGGACACCCATCACCTTCCGGCGGCCATACTGCTTGGCGTAGTCGTACGGCGTCTTGCCTTGCAATACGCAGCTGGAAGTGCCAAGTTCCGGTTTAGACGGATGTGGGGCTGAGTGTGGTCCCAAAATCCAGATAGTATCATTTAGATTCATTTAGTGTCATTGCTTTTCAAGTTGTTTTACGGATGCTTTACGTTGATGTCTGGAAGACCTATACTAGCACATTTCCTACATATCACCCACTATATATAACCTTATTGTTGGTATCCTAATCGCTGTTTCCAATATCATATCATTCTTAATAAGTTCTTACTGTGCCAGTGGATGCCACTGTCTTCTGTGGTTTGTGTCGGTTTGTCACCCCATGTTGACACTTGCCAAACATCCCACCATGAAAGCGCCAAAACAAAACAATTCCCACAGCCTGAAACAAACCCAGAATACGTTCATGTGTCTGGCTTCGCTGGTGCAGTGCATGTACTTTAGAAGATTCACAAAATCCTAATCCCACCTACAGCAAATACCACCTATCAGTTTTATCCTGCCACAGCTCTGTGCACATGATGCATTCAAAATCACCAAACAACTTGTCACCGAGTTTGTTCTTTCACTCACTGTGTATCAGATCATCCCTCCACTCCACCCCCTGTCGCCACCGGCCGTTTCTGGGGGACCCTGGCCTTCGCTGTCCACAGCATCCACGGCGGCGCCCGCGGCGAGGAGCCGCTCCACAGCGGCGGCGCGGCCGTTGCGGGCCGCCCCGTGCAGCGGTGTCCGACCTCAGGCGCCGAAGGGCTCGGAGACGTCAACGGCTGGAGGACTCCACCCGTGGCTCTCCACCGCCCACCCCCCACACTTGACTGGAGAGGCTCGAATCTACGGAGTGAAGTCCGTGAGTTTCATCTTTTCCAAAATTGTACAGCGAACTGTCTCAATGGCAGCCACTATCGTTGCTGGTGTTTGTGAAGATCACCAAGACTACGAACTGATGGAACCTTCCACAACAGAAAATCCGAAAAAGAGACAACCGTTTTATGATGTTTTATGCCTAACAAATTAAGTTTTGTCTCAACATATCTTGAGCATTCGCAAGCTCTCTTTCACATCCACAGTAGGCCCATACAGGTAGCAAATGTGCAAGAGTTCTTCTCTCTGATGATTCTGATGACTTATTGTGTTTCACATCGATGTCTTACCATCGTGTTATATTCCTACAGTGATGGGGCACCCCAAAGATGCCAGTGGATGCCTCTGTGTTCTGTCGCTTTATCACCTCATGTAGTGTCACTTGCCAAATATCTCACCATGGCGTTTGAGAAGATTCATAAAATCCCAATCCCACCTAAGTTATAAGTACCATCTCGTAGTATGAAACTGGTCCCCGCACTCGCAGTCCAACAGGCAAACAAGCCTTTTACACAGCGCGTATGGCTCAAAAGGGCCCTACGATCCGATACAGCAGCGGACAAATGTGTCAACGGCTATACACATGAGTGGAAAACACAGTAGAATTCACAAGTAGTTTTATCCTGCCACAGCTCTGTGCATACCTGGATAATCCACCTATGCAGAATTGTCGCTCGAAATCCAAAACAGCTATAATTATCGCCAGTTGCCTAAATGTTCGCCGTTTCCAGTTTTTTTTGCCGTTTTGGTTGTCATATTTTGGGCTCTTGATTTTTTTTCGCCGTTTCAAAACCAGCAAACACATGTATAAAAGCACAAAAATACAAAAAATGCTCGCAAGCAGAAAAAATTGCCGAGAGCAATCATTCTTGAAAAGGCAACAATCTTGCATACATTGGAAGACGCAGGTATGGCACATTAAAAGTCATCAAACAACTTGTCACCGAGGCTGTTCTTTCACTCACTCTGCATCAGCTCATCCGTCCCCCCCACCCCCTGTCGTCCCCACCAGCCGTTTCCAGGGACCCCGGCCACTGCTGTCCACAGCATCCACGGCGGCGCCCGCGGCGAGGAGCTCCTCCACCACGGCGGTGTGGCTCCACTCAGCCGCCACGAGCAGCGGTGTCAAACCTCAGGTCCCGAAGGGCTCGGAGACGTCAATGGCTGGAGGGCTCCACCCCGTGGCTCTCGACCGCCCACCCCCACTGCAGTGGGAGAAACTGCAAACTGTGGAGTGAAGTCCGTGAGTTTCATCTTTTTCAAATTGGCCGCCACTGTCTGTTGCGGGTGTTTGTGAAGATCACCAAGACTACGAACTGATGGAACCTTCCACAACAGAAAATCCGGAAAAGGGAAAACCGTTTTCTTACGCCTAACAAAACTTATCTCAACATATATTCTCAAGCATTCTCAAGCCCTCTTTTGCATCTGTAACGTTGCCTACAATTATACTAGACCCTCAAAATGTCCCCTAAGCTTGACTCAATCACCCGAACCACTGTGTGACATACCCGCAACACAAACTTGCAACTGCGGTCTATTGGTAGTTGACTTCTCAACATGGAGTTTCATCCTTTTCAAAATTGTGTGGCAAGCTGGCTCAATGGCAGCCACTATCGTTGCTGGTGTTTGTGAAGATCACCAGACTACGACTACGACCTGATCAGACCTTCCATGATAAAACATCATAAAACCTCAAGTATCAGGCTCTTTTACACCCATAAAGGGTTGATCAAGGTTGCACATGTGCAAGATCACCTCTCCGAAGCTGTGCATCCCAGCAGGGACAACTTCATGACTTCATGTGCCTGATTTCCTTCAAAGAATCCACCCTGTGGCTCTCACCTGCTGGAGGTTCATCTCCAGCTAAGGTGGCGAACACCATCGAATTTCATCCTGAAATCCGTGGCACCGCCTTCCCACCACGTCCGTCCTGTCGCGTCCGTCCCGTCTCTGAGGGCCGGGACCGCTGCTATCCTTCGCCTCGACGGAGGCGCCGGCGGCCAGCAGCGCCTGGACCACCTCCGGCTGGTCTCCCATGGCCGCCACGTGCAGCGGCCCGTTGCCTCGGTCCGGAGGGCGCCGCTGGAGAGGCGACGGCGCGCCAAATCACATGAGTTGCTTCGGAGGATTTCGGAGGATTTCGGGTCTGAAAAATTGAGAGTTTGGTCCAGCATTTCAAATTGAGACGTCACTGCCCATCGAAATCAGGATCAACTGATTGGGAAGTCACACCTCTGCCGTGCCGTACACTGCAAACCAGATCAAAGACTCACAATAACACAGTACAATCTAAGCAAGAAATTTTTCGAAAATGTCTCCTCAACTTGACTCAACCACAGGAACCACTCCAAGTCACAATGTCAAGTGTGAGATACCCCCAACATCCCGCAACACAAACTTGCAACTGCTGTCTACTGTCTACATAAAGTACACTGAAGATTCCTGGAACGAAGTTCCCAAACGGCATCCTTTCTTAGCCACATAATTTTTCCAGGATTCTCAGGATTCTCTAGCCACGTAATTCCTTTTTTTTGCCACGAAATAAAAGCTAGCTGCGTAAGAGCTTTACCCACGTAATACACGTAATCCATCCTTTTTTTATTTTTTGTCCTCTCTCTTTCTCCTTGTTTTTCTTTTTTTTCTCTCTCTTTCTCCTTGTTTTTTTTTTCTCTCTCTTTCTTTCTTTTTTTTTGTTTTTTTTCTCTCTTTCTCCTTTTTTTGTCTTTTTTTTCTCTCTCTTTCTTTTGTTTTTTTCTTTTTTTCTCTCTTTCTCTCTTTCTTTCTTTTTTTTGTTTTGTTTTCTCTCTTTCTCTCTTTCTTTCTTTTTTTTGTTTTTTTTCTCTCTTTCTCTCTTTCTTTCTTTTTTTGTCTTTTATCTCTCTTTCTCCTTTTTTTTCTTTTGTTTTCTCTCTCTTTCTTCTTTTTTTTTCTCTCTGTCTCTCTTTCTTTCTTTTTTGTCTTTTTTTCTCTCTTTCTCTTTTTCTTTTTTTTCTTTTTTCTCTCTTTCTCCTTTTTTTCTTTTTTTTGTCATTCATTTTATCTCTTTCTTTCTTTTTTTTGTATTTTTTTCTCTCTCTTTCTTTCTTTTTTTGTATTTGTTTTTCTCTTTTTCTCTCTTTCTTTCTTTTTTTGTCTTTTTTTCTCTCTTTCTTTCTTTTTTGTTGTCTTTTTTTTCTCTCTCTTTCTTTCTTTTTTTTTCTTTTGTTCTCTCTTTCTCTCTTTCTTTCTTTTTCTTTGTCTTTTATTCTGTCGTATTCTATTTTTATTTTTACTTTTTATTTCAGATTTTTTTTCAAGGCTAGAATCTTGATTTTTCGTGGCTAAACCTATTTACGTGGCTAAAAAAAAACCTTTTCAAGGCTAAAGTTTTTTTTTTTTTCGGGGCTAAAAATCGGTCCCGTTCCCAAACTTGCAGCAAACTCAATGTCGTGTCGCATCTCTGTCACATTTCACCTGTTGCACCGCCTTCCCACCACGTCCGTCCTGTCGCGTCCGTCCCGTCTCTGAGGGCCGCAGCCGTTGTCGTTCTTCGCCTCGACGGAGGCGCCGGCGGCCAGCAGCACCTGGACCACCTCCAGGTGGCCATCGAAGGCCGCAAGCGCCAGGGGCTCGTCGCCTCGGTCCGGAGGACGCCGCTGATGATGGCGACACCACGCGCAATTTCACAGGTCGATCATGTTCCGACTGAAACACATATCAGCAACATCTCTCAAAACCAAAAATCAGTCTCAACTGGATTGGGAAGTCAAAGCTGCGCACCTATAACAACCTGCTCATCCTGTCACTTCTCTCCGTCTCCGAGGCCGCGGCCGTTTTGGTTCTTCGCCTCTACGGAGGCACCGGCAGCCAGCAGCACCTGGACCACCTCCAGGTGGCCGCCCCGAGCCGCAAAGCGCAGCGGCCCGTCGCCTCGGTCCGGAAGGCTCCGTTGATGATGGCGACGGCACGCGCAAAGTCACAGGTTGATCATGTTCCGACTGAAACACGTACCGGTTACCAGCAACATGTCTCATAAACATCTCAAAACCCAACATCAGTCCCAACTGTATTGGGAAGTCACATCTCTGCCGTGCTATCCACTGCAAACCAGATCAAAGATTCACAATAACACAGTACAATCTAAGCAAGAAATCATTCGAAAATATGAGGAATCCATTTGCATCCATCTGCCATTATACTAGACTAGACCCGCAAAATGTCTCCTCAACTTGACTCAACCACCGGAACCACTCCCAGTAATAATGAGTTACTGAGTAATAATGTCAAGTGTGACATACCCGCAACACAAACTTGCAACTGCTGTCCACTGGTAGTTGACTGCTCAACATGGAACCACGTAAAGTCCACTGAAGATGCCTGGAACGAAGTTCCCAAACTTGCAGCAAACTCAATGTCATGTTGCATCTCTTCCACTTTTTGCCTGTTGCACCGCCTTCCCACAACGTCCATCCTGCCATTTCTGTCCTGTCACTTCTCTCCGTCTCTGAGGCCGCTGCTGTAGCTATCCTTCGCCGCGCCGGCGGCCAACAGCGCCTCGACCACCTTCAAATGGCCGTTATAAGCTGCCCAGTGCAGCGGCTCCATGCCTCAGCCAGAGGGCTCCGCTGATGATAGTGATGGAACGTGCCAAGTCACAGGTAAATTATGCTCCTTCTGAAACAAGTACTGCATCAACATGCGCCAGCAACATGTCTCAAAACCCAACATCAGTCCTAGCCAACTTCAAGCCTATCCCTTCTCAGGTGTCCGCCATCTTTGTCGACTTGCTCCAGGCTCTGGGGGTCCACCTGCAGCAAGCGCCGGACAGCTCCGACGTTGCCTTCTTTCGCAGCCTGCAGGATGTCTCCGCCTCAAAACGGCCGAAACTCTGGATGGCGGTCCAAGGGCCAAAACTCGGGATGTCTGGCAGTCCAAGGTTGATTTCTTAATATATTATGCCAGTGGATCAGTCATAATGTCATAATAGTATATATTCTAAATTTTGCGTTGCTGAACTTGGTTCATTCGACTACTAACCAATATTAACTCATGATTGTCACAAAAGCATATTTAAACGCATTTAATAAACGCATCTTTAAAGCCTAATGTCACATGTCATTGAGCATGGATCCTCAAGCCTGAACATTGAGGAAACATATCCCGGAATCCTCAACTCTGAGATCTTCACAATTTTCGATTTCAATTTCATCTGCCTGGAAAGCAAAGCACGACATCTTGGACAACAACAGTTGCGAAAAGAGATAATTACCACAGATTCAACTCAAGTTTTTCTGTTCCACAAAGGCGTGGAAAATACGTTTCCTGCATAGGGTTGTTTTGCAATCGGATACCGAAATCTGAGGGATACTTGGAGGTCATCCAGTGAGAGGAAGGACATTTGCCGCAGCAGGACGAATTATGTAGGGAATTCTAAGAAAATCATCAAGGTGGATACACTAACATCGAAAAAATGTAAATTTGAACTATATTTGGGTGGGGAAAAATGTTTGCGCAGTGACAAGTTGTAAGGACCCAACATCTCATCAAATAGCAAAGCAAGATAAAGCAAGTCAATCCGACCTACTACCGTGCCAACATCTCCTCATCAATACTTCTCAACTTTGTCAAACTTTGTCCCCTGTGGATCACAGTGGAATCAACTTCTGATGAGTTGTAATGACCTCGACATCTCAGCAAATGGCAGAGCAAGCGGAAATGAAGTGAAATAAATTAACTGCACCAACATGTCCTCCTAACCACTTTTGGGACTAGTCTCCAACCCACACCAACGACCCTCAGATTGCCAGTCCTCTGGTTCCACCTCACAACCTCAGCATTCAACATGTTTCCGTGGTAAATCCCTGCCAGAAGGCCAATGCTTTCATCTACCAGCATATCATAAAGTCCCTGTCAATTCTGATGCGGTCCCGCTTTCGTGTGACAGCCTCAATGAGTGGAGCGCAACCAAATTCCTTTGCAGTTGCATTGAGTCTGCCACATTACCTTCCCATGTTGGTTTCTTCAGATTTCCCAATCAACTGTAAGGCAGGGAGTGGTCTCTGGTTTTCAAGGCATCGAGTCGTCTTGACCTCCCTCCAGCATGTTGCCAGAACTGGGCCAAGGGGCCAAAGCCATCTGGCACTGAGGCATTGGGCTGGGTCCTTTGCCTGTGGGCCAAACTCGGCAACAAAAATGAATCAGCTGGGATCATCGCAGCCCAAAAGGATAAGAAAAATAGTACAGAGCCAAATCGTCCAGATATCCTGTTTCATGCTTTACATATGAGTTCCATGCCAGAAGTGTGCTTAAATTTTGTCAAGATGCGATGAGACCCCAGCTTGATGACCACTCTCAGGACTTGATGCTGGTGCGAAAACCCACCGTAGAAAGTCTGAATAGTGGATGCTTTGATCTCGACAGGCATCCTCAAATTGAACGTGTTAGTCCAGTGATCAATTTTCTGGCCAGGTCGTCAATGTGTTTCACAAAAAACATGCAGTAAATTGTGCGGTCAAAATGGCTGGTATCAACAGAGCTTGAAATCAAAAACTAGTCTGGACCTGAACCTGGACCACAACAGTATGAATCGAACGCCTTAAGCCGTCCATTATCAAACCAAGCATCTGTAGTTTTAAGCATTGCTGCCAGCCTTGGCCGATGAATGAAACAATGCACGTTGCAGAGGGGTGACAACAGGGTGCATTTCTGCCTTGTGGAAGAGTGGCTGTTTGGAATGCCGAAACGGGTAAACTCTGCAGACCAGGCAGCTCTCGATCAGTGATTCCAATGTCCGAAAGAATAGACAGCAGCTCTTCCTTCTGGAGCGTGCCATGTCCTGAGCAAAAGGAGACCATCTATACGATCTCCCTAAACTGCGGAGTTCATCGCAGCCCAGCTGCACAAGCAACTTTGCAGCTGAGAGTCCCGTAGGATCCCACTGCTGGAAAATTGCTCTGACGTTTGCATGGTCTGCCTTGACATTGGTCGCTTGGTCACTCCCAAAGCTGGCAAACTGTTGTGTTCATAGACTATAGCATAAGCTATGCCCAGTGTCAACTTGAATGATAAGAAACAGTTGGATCACCCAGTGAAAAGTGGAAACCATGGTTATTCGCTAAAGACATCTGAAAAAGTTGAAACCCCTGGAGATGATATGCCAAGAAACTCTGTGAAACACTCCAAGAGTCCAACATCTTTGTTGCTTTCCACCATATCAACTTCCAACCGCTTTGGTGGAGTCAATTCCACGTCTCAGATCTGGGACGCCCTGCCGAGGTATCGCGACCATCGCTGTTTTCGGCCATGTCGCTGATGAGAATACCCCAATTTCCGGAAGCGTGGTGAAACTCTCTGAAATTGCGGCCAAAACTTGAGGGAACGATCTGGTTTCACCTTTTCAAACTCTGGAGTTCTGGCAATCCGTGAATTTCCAAGCTAAGCACTCCTGCAGGCAACAAGGTTGGTTGGCAAAACCAGGTGTGGGATGATGCTGATATTTTGCCAGCATTGATTCATGTTGAAATGGTCAGAGCTGCGTTGGTTCTGGTGTGTGTCTCTTCAACCCTCAACATCAACGAACTGCTGGTGATGAGGTGCTAGCTGAGACGAGAACTTCAGGAAATCCAACCTTTGCTACAATGTGCAACAGAATTACCGCAAAATATGTGCGGTTTTTCCATTATCATTCAATTTGCATGTTGCCAGGGGCATCTACTGTCACACAATGCTTGAACCTAACATCCAAAAGAGTAACACTATGCAACAATCTGGGAACGCTTCCAAATCAGAGGTCATAGTTCCATCCAGATTTTCAGCCCTGCTTGCATGCTAGGTTGAAATATATAATCAGCTCAACCGACCTTCCATGCCTAGCACGGTGCGGTTGCCTTTTTTGGGGCAAATTGGGATGTCTCGCTTCACAGATACATTCCTGTGATCTTTTTGGGTCGGAGAACTACTTGTTACTTGTTGCTTCCTCAAATTCATCCAAATTTAGTCAAGCGGGAGCAGAGCACACCATGGGAAGCCGGAATGCGGCAGTTGTCAGTTTTCATTTCCGCCACATCTTCGCAATTTGTTGGCCTTCGCCTAATTTGAAAAGATGCCGCCAGGGCTAGTCACAGAATCCGCAATCTGATCAGCAGTGCCTTCGGCATTGTTCATCTGCCGATCATCTACATACACTAGGCCGTTCTTGAACACGAATTCATTTTGAAAAGTGCCTCTTGGATTGTCTTGCGGCGCTGGTGGCCACTCTTTGCAGAGCCTAATGGGAAAGATTTGCAACTTGTTGTCGTGTGCATATTCCAATTCATGGAAGGTTTCGTAACCAACATCTGTATAGGCGCCGTAGTCCGACGTGCAGAAGGCCACCATGCCTTTGGCACGGGCCAATCCTATCCGCGTCAGCTCGGCAAAACTTTGGCCGACCTGGGCTTGGACCATAAAGACTGGAACTTTTCTCTCTTCCAGACGCCTTTTCACCGTTCTCATGTAGTTCATCGTCCTCGGTGGCCAGAAAGTCCACATGGCAGGGAGGATGCAACCAATTGTCACTTGAAAAAGTAAGGATCGAAATTCAACAACAATATTTGGACCTAACTCCCAAAATGCCGCCAATCAATCTATGCCAATCTCAGATCAGAAACCTTTCACTGTTGAACCGGCCACTCAGCAGCAAATGGCATCGCTCTGGACGTGGCACCTCAGACAGCTTGATCCACAGATCCACGTTGGATCCAACCCTTGGATCCAACCCTTGGATCCCATCTTCTCACGATATCACGAGCTCCGCTATCGATATTCGATTCGAAAGTATGCATTATTGATCATTGTACATTGATGTACATTGTACATGTTCAAAAATCCGGTGTCAACATGTGTCAACCCATCTGATTTGCATGATCCAAGCAATGGCACGTTTCAAAAAACCAGGTGGGCTCTGCTGTTTTCACACCTTCCAATTCTACTCCCATCCACTACTTGACATGTCGTGCTTTCTTGTAATTTCACACCTTCTGCGTCTTAGATCGTCTTAGTGCTTTTCTGAACCGTGCACAAATGGGGTGTGCTTGAAGGTGGTGTGCCAAGAACCATGAAAAGGGCTCTCAGCCATTGATTTTAGTGCCTTTCTCAGCCTTGCAATTTTGTGTGCTCCTAGTCTTGAAATCACAGATGAGATCCGCATCTTGGATTCTGCTGGATCTGCCGACACTTCTGAGGTCACAACTGCAGAAGGCATCGCCTGCCAGGTGCTGTGAGAGGTTGTACGTGTTTCTCTGAAAGAAATTCGTGAGCATGTCGCTGCATGACCCCGATTTGGCCCGAACCTCGTCGTCAACTTGGGGTTCATCCGGCTCCATGGCAGCACGCGGCTTCTGACCTGATGGTGGGAATCGCTAAGAACACTACACTCACTACACCATGTGTGAGATTCTCCACATGTCATGTTGTGATACCTTCATGCCACCTACTGCTGGATGTCCGATGCATCAGTCAAGATAGGGCTCACCTGTCTCGATTTGAAATGCAACATGAACTGGATGTAAACATATACTGTACGATATTATATGATACAAAATGATAATAATATGTCTAAGTATACATCTACGTGTATAATCAATATATATATATATATAATACATATATATATATATACATACATACATATATATATATATACATATATATATATATAAAAGTACATATATATACATACATACATACATACATATATATACATACATACATACATACATACATACATACATATATACATATATATATATACATATATAATATATATATATGTGTGTTCCCGAATAGAATTCAAAATGACAGAAACGGAACAAAGCAACTGCAAGGGCAGGGCTGGATCTGGGGGTTGTGAAGCAGCTGGAGGAGAAGCTTTGCAAAGGATCGTATGAGCTTGCCGGGCTTCCCTGAGGTAGTCGTCGCGGATTTCCATGCCCAAAATGGCTGAAGAAAAGGGCGACTGAGGGGCCAAGCTGCCGTTGCCCAATTTAATCGTCCCAGTGCTCTCTCAATCTCCTTCACCGTGAAGGTGTTGCCCGCAGCGATGGTCTGAAGGAGTGCCTCAAGTGTCTTCCTCTTATCTGGAGGGAAGTCGACCACGGGTCCGCATGGATTGACCTGGAAACCTAACCAGGTGTTGACCTCAGATAACACCGTCTTGTGCCAACTGAGGGGGCATCCCATGGCTGCTAAGGAGAGAAGTAGTTTTGCCGTATCCTCAGTGGCGGAGTCCGTCCTGAGGAGCCAACAAAAATCGTCCACGAACACAAAGCCCCAGTCTATGTGTGGAAACATCATGTAGCATAGTCTGAGGAGGAGTGCCGCCATTCTGCCCCAATAAAGTTGGGCGCTGGCCATACCATAGGTACCCACCTTGTTTATCCACCATTCACCATCAAGTTGTGCTACCTGGTAGCGCCATTCGTTGGATTGGACCTTGATGCGGCGGTGTGCTTTTGAAACATCTGCTTTCAAAAGTGCCCAGGTGGTTTGTTTGTGTGGAGGTTGCCAAGCCAGGTCGGTGCAAGACGCTACCGTCCCAGATGTCTTCTCCTTCGTGGTGGTTAGCCAGTGAATGGCTTGAACACAGTCCATCACTGTGGGTGCAGTGGTCTTCTCAACTGTGTTTTGTTGGATGTGTGAGTTTGCATGGCCCCAGCTTCCGTCGTAGATTGTGCGGATTTTAACTCCTTCGTCAATTGCCGCCAGGGGCCCTGGGCAGAGTTCATCTGGGGTGCATCCACAGCGGAGTGCAGCCTCCTCCTGTGTGAGTGGGCCCTCAACCATACCCATATCTACCTCTTCCACGAAGGTCTGTCGAACCTGAGAGGAGAAATCTTTTGCCGAGGGGTAGTTGTCCCTGCCCATGGGTATTAGGAGGTCCTCCCACAGAGGGGATTCTCCTTTGAGTTCTTCCTTGGTAGGCCATATACCTGGTGACGTCCAGGTGGGTGTGGTGACACCTAAGGGGACTCCCTTGGCAACCCTTGTGGGGTAGGCTGCATCTGCATCTCCACCAGCTTCCGCTAAGGCTGAGATGAGGTTCAGATAGAACGGCTGGCCTGGCTCCATCTCCTCAGCAATTTGGTAGTCCAGCCCGATCCCTTGGGCAATGGCCCGTCGTGTCTCCTGAAGAAGTTCCTTCGGGAACGGATGTTTTCTTTCACCCCTGTTGATGGACCGTTGGACGTCCTGTGCACATCCTTTTGCCAGGTGGCTAATGGAGTCTCCAATGTGCTTGATCTTGGACTGAGGTCTGAGCGGGGGAGGTCGTCTCCCGGCTGAGGGCTTACCTCCTCCATCCCGTAGAGGTCTAGTCTTGAAGCCTGATTGAACGATGATCGGGTCGTCATCCAAAGTCATCGTCTGGGAGAGGGGTACCGATGAGGAGCGGTCTGTCCGACCTGGAGGCTCCCCTTCCTGTTGGCACCCGGTGGGTTGATGTCCTGTGGTTGGAATGCTCTGGATGATTGCTGCTGCTAGCCCTGCCATCAGTGCTGGCGGGTATCTGCTGAGGTCCCGGGAGGTCATCTCCATTGGCCTCAAATGTTCAGAGTGGTTGCACTGGAGGCCTTGCCAATGGTGAATTGGAAGGTCCGTTGAGAAGGTCGTACTCTTCTGTGCCCTTTGTCCCAGTCTGCACTGGTCCAGGTGGATCTGGCAGTGATTTACCTCTTTGGCCCACTCCTGGTAGACTCTAGTGGCCCATATCGATGAACATTTTGCCGCCGTTGGTGCTCGACTACACTCAGCTGGATCACGAGGGTGTTCCAAGAACGAGTGGAATCCTTGGTTTTGCCTGGCTTTTGAGGCTAGGGCAGTGATGACCAGTTGCCGGAGCAGAAGGATACTGTCCTTGTCTGTGTCCAACTGTTCTTCCAGGGAATTTGAGTCAAGGCCCCATGTCTGGGAGGGATCACGCCCTCGTACTGGCCTGGGCGCTCCAGGCTTTGGAAACCATCGTAGGATGCTCCAGGTCCGGCAGTTGGGGCCGCCCCCCACAAATGACAACTGGCCCCTCGCGGCGGCGCAGCAGAGAGTTGAGTAAAACTCATCATCCAATATGTCGTTTGGGCCCTTTTCTGGTGGCCTCAGGATATCCACGGCAAGGAGCCTGGGGGCCAGGTCCTGGTGTTGTTGGATGAGTATGTCATCCAAGGCTCCTCCGTCACTCCTGCCAGTGTAGAGGAGTAGTATGTCCCTCCCTTGGAGACTACCCGTGGGTTGTGTGGTCCATACAAGGCGTTCCAACAGCCTGTTCGGAACCGAT